TTTTGTTGTTGTTGTGGTGGTCGGCGCGAGTGGGGATGCGTAATGCGTGGTTATCGGGCGTAGACGATGATGTCGACGGTCGATGAGATCCCAGCGACGGGGGGGAGGATGAAGGATGGGAGTGAGAAAAAATGAGAGTAAGAGGAGAAGGGTTTGGACGGTGTAGTGTAGTGTCGAGTAGCTAGTTGCTAGCTGCAATCCAATACAGAGAGAGCACACAGAAAATGGATGGGATGGGATGGTTGGCTGGCAGCTGGTTGCTGGTTGGGCCGGGTGCAGTGTGGTCGCCAAGTTGGAGATGGATCGAGTTGGGTCTCGTCGCGCAGGTCCTGTCCTGTTATGTCCTGTAAGAACGAGTTAGGCAATGTTGTGGTAGAGCGGACTAACCCAGGCCGTCCTAATAGAACTAACAGTAGCTGCAGCGTGTGTATTAAGAGCAACAATGGGCACGCCAGGCTCTCAGAATATCGTACCGTCGTCTCGTACTGTACCGTAAAGAGAGATGAGGGGGCGGGAGGATGGATTGGGCAGACAGTGGAGGCCCAAGCCAAGGCCCGGGGGTGGATATGGGCAGTGAGGTCAAGCAAGGTCAGGTAAGGTAGAAGGTAGGTATTGATTTGGTAGAGGACTCGAGCGTTGAAGCGAGAATTAAGAGGGTAAAGAAAATGAGAAGGAAGTGTGTTGTATAGGAAGGGATGCTCTAGATTCTAGTCTTAAGAGCGTTGATGAATGAATCCATTCATTATATGGATGGTGAGTTGATGTGGGAGAGAGGTTGAGCTCTCGTTGGTGCAGATACTGACTGTCTTTAGGTAGAGATAGATGCCAGAGGAAAGGGCAAGAGTCAAGAAGGTTGATATCACCTCAATTGCAACAAGCCCACCTGCCTTAGCAATACCTAAGTTCAACTGTCTTATCAATTGCCAGTCAATTAACATCCAGCGCATTATACACTATGACATCCTTATATTGTGGTGGAACGACACATGAAGGTCATATCAATGCCCTCATTGCGCATGATTTAACTTTCATGCTGTTGTTTTCGGTTGCTCCTGTCGACACGAGTTACGAGCCGAGTTCAGACGTTGAAATATCTGCAACAGCCATATATGCATCAAGTATCAGCAACTCAATGCTACACAAAACTTTCGTTGCGGCAAAGCAAAGTGACCAACCGCCAAACACGTTGCGGAATTACATTGAATCAAGTGCATATAGAAATCTTCTTAGTCTTGACTCCTCTTTACTGACTCTCAAGTTTAGTAACTCGGCTCTTCCCAGCCAACGCCAAAAAGCCAAAAAGAAGTCCACCACTGTAACTACTTAAAGTAGTAGGTACACGAGCAAAACAGAAACGTGCAAGATTTGCGGCGCCTTAGGCTTGTTCCCTGCCTGTTCTACCCTGCCACAACAAGGGGGTAGTACGCCGCAGTGGACAGGTTGTGATGATCCCCTTCTATCAGCTGTCAAATCACCACTAACTTGTACTTAACGATGCACATATTCTGCCTTTCTACACGCAAACCAGAGTTGATCTGACCTACAACGTGGCAAAACAAGAGTACATTTGAACAGGACAGCATCTTCTTGTCTCTGATCAGCGGGGTGATTATCAGCCGTTCCCTACTATACTATGCGCGCACCAGAATTTGGCTTCTGACTCTGCCTCTGACACGAGCAACACACAGACTATACCCCGGAAATTACCATTTGTTGATTGATGCCAACCTCACTCGGTCAGCTTATGACCTCAATTTCCCAATACAAATCTGTTATCATTGACATTATCCTCAACTTGCCTCCGCTGATATCATCAACATGGATTCTCTCATAATCCACAGCCCAATACGTATTACTATCCATGCCATGGATGTTAGCCTATTAACCCACCATGTAAAAAATTACGTCCTTTTCAGGGTCCTGAGGAATTACCACGGAATAAAAAAATCAAGTTTCACATTCCAAACGGCTCCCGGCCCTTCTCACCGTATCTGGTAGGACAAGACGGTAGCCTGTGGTATCAAATCCCGGGGCCTCTCTGCCCCGTTTATTTCGTTGGCGTTTCATGAGCTTGCCATCCATCCGTCTGTACCTACGTGGCTCCTGTGTCTATTTACATCTCTGCTGGGGTTCACTGGTGCCAAATACTTAACACGTGGAGCTGTTGCTATGCCGATTCATATCAAGAGACCTCACTTCTCGACTTGGGCATCATTATCGAGATGTAAACTTTCAAGACAAGCAGCATCTCGGCAGAACGGTTCGACTGTGGTGTCACACTATGCCATTATCCAATTGATCAGAGTAAGGCCGAGTGTTACACGACGGTCGAGTGAGATTGTCTTGTTATGTTTTATTCATCCATTTCATACTACCGCCGTCTTCCCACCTAATTTTCTTCGAGATAACCCTGTGCACCTCGAGTAACTTGCGTACCTCCAACGTCTTCCACTTTCTCACCTTTTGTCATCAATCTTACAGAGTCGTCAAGTCGTCGTTCCATCATATCGTGAGTGAGAATTATTAATGAAAAAGAGAAAGAGGAAAAATGTCCCGTTAAGAAAAAAGAAAGGTCGCCGCTAAATACATAGATGAAAATCCATGGAATGGAACTGCCACCCCCTTCGCCAGCCACTGAAATATCAATCAGATGCTCCATGAGACACAAGAATGGATGAAACGCTCATGACGTCGTCAGATAGGGAAAATTGAAATGCCAGACTGGCTCCTGACTTAATGCAACAAAGTCATGGTGAAGAAATGTTGGTGGTATCCTGGAATTAGCGCTCGTACAGAGAGAGATAGAGATTGAAAGAGATTCGAGAAACATGTGGCGCTCCCTGACTTTTATCGACGAAACAGGAATAGAAGAGAAGAGAAGAGAAGAGAGAAATGCCATACATCCGTTTGTACGCAAGATAGGAAAATTGCCCTTTTTTCCCAGAACACGGAACGGGGGTATCACAGGCCTGAACTGTAATAATGCTTGAAGATACTGAGAAAAGAGTAATGGAAGCAACAGAAGCAAGCGCAAGAGAGAAATCCACAGAAACGTGAGAAAGAAGAAAGGGGAATCATGAAAAGCGGACAAAGAGAAATCCGTCCCGGGGCATGATCAAGCGATAAACACCTTCGCCCTGATATCACTATGTCCAGCTTTCGTCCAGCTTTTTGACTTGTCTTGCTCTGGTTTGGTCGTTGCCCCCTAGGCCTGATAACCGCCAAATCCATTGTTGAAGTTCTGTCCAGGGCGAGGCTGAGCCCATTCAGCATTGGGAGGCTGTTGGCCCCTTCCGTAGCCACCCGCGCTCTGAGGAGCAGCATATCCCATAGGGGATCCAGCATAGCCGGCCGGTGATCCGGTCTGTGGCCCACCATAGTTTCCAGGTTGTCCTCCATACTGGGCTACATCATTGTCAGCTACTGATACGATTAAGCTTGGTTTACATTTCACTTACCACCGTACTGAGGATAGTATGTAGGCGTGCCCGGGAAGCCAGGAGCTTGAGCACTCTGTGGGCTGTAAGGCTGAGCAGGATCAAAGGCTCCTTGAGCACTGGGCGTCTTGTCCTTGCCCCACTGCGGTCAACTGTTAGCTGCCATCTCTCGATCACAACACGGGTAAAACATACACTGCACTTGAGGGGTCGTCCGTTAACGTTATACCCGTTCATCTGGCAGATCGCCATAGCCGCGTTCTCGTGGGTATCCATCTTAATGAAAGCAAACCCTCGATCGGCCTGGAATCGAGACTCAACAACGAAACCGAAGTTCTGGAACAGAGGAACCACGTCGTTGGGAGTTGTGTAAGGAGTAAGGTTGCCGACATAGACAGTTGTCTGCCAGCTAGGGGTTTGAGTCAGAATAACCTCGTAACTAGCGACGCCATGTGCTGGGAATTGGTGGTGGCCATAAGGGGTGGTAGGCGTCATGCCCATGGCCTGCATAGCCTGCTGCTGGGCCATTGAAGGTTGGCCCTTCTGGTTTGCCCAATTGCATCGAATGGCTCGCGAGCCGAGCCACTCGCCGTCCATGGAGCTTAGAGCCTTTTCGGCCTCAGGGCGGTCGCGGAAAGCAACAAAACCGTAACCTCGAGATCGACCGGTCTTCATATCCCACATGACACGAGCCTCGGAAACGGAACCGAAAGCAGAGAAAGCTTGAAGGAGGACCTCATCGTTGACTTCGTTGGACAAATCACCGACAAAAATGTGGAAGTGGTTCGACGTATCCTCCTTGTTTGTGGTGTTCGACTGATAGGCCCAGTTGACTCGGATTTCCTAAGCTACGGTTAGCGGGCGACGTTCGAGATGTTGTTGGATTTCGTTGGGGGGATGTACCGATTGGTGAACTCGTCGTCCATTGAGGGTCTGCATAGCACGCTCAGCGGCACCAGGGTCATCATACTCGACAAAACCATAGTTGTAACCACGCGCCTGTGATTGCACTATTAGCCCACCACATCCTCAAAATTTCTTAGGGTTGTAGCAAGACCTACATTCTTGTCGGGAATGATCTTGACGTTCTGAACATGACCCGTAGTCTCGAAGATCTGACGCAGGACTTCCTCAGTTACACGCTGGTCCAAACCACCAATGTAGAGGGCACGCTTGTTGGGCTCAGGGGCAGCACGACGGAAGCCACCTGCACTGGTAGGCGACATGATGCCTCCCTGATCGGCAGCGGATCTGGGGGAGGTGATGGCAGTCGGGATCGGGTTGGTGTTCTGAGGGATATGCAGAGGCGGAGGGGCCATAGGCTGTCCATTCTGGCCAGCTTCAAAGCCAGGGGCGCCAGCACCAGCCTGAGGGGGGGGAGGCAGCTGGCCTGGGTTGGAGGGTGTTCCAGCGTCGGCCATGTTGTATGATATCGTGTCGGGGTGATGATCAAGAAGGATGAGTAGCGGAAGGATAGGACGACAGAGCAGAGGTAGAAGAGGAATTGGAGGCTACCTATGAGCTGTGTTGTACTGAAGTCGGTCGGTCGAGGTGGAGAGTCGGCGGTCGGTGACAATATGTACCTTGTACCTCCTAGCGTTTGACAGGACAGGGGTCCAACTGGATGAGTAGACAACCCGGAGCTAAGAGTGACACGGTGGGCACAGGGGGAGAGAGGGGCCTGGGTCTGGTCTGACAACGGGGTCCAGACGAAAGCTTGGGGACTGGGGTGGGAGGTCACAGTGGAAACTCCAGCGTTTGAATTCTCCAAGAAACGGTTGACGGCGATGCGAACGAAGACGCAAGCTTTCGGAGAGGAGCGATCGAATTGTTGCGCGTGCGTACAGTCTGGCACTGTAACACAGGGGCGGAACGAGACGGTGGCCTTGGCTTGATCGTGGCCGGTTGTGAGACGTGGGGGGGTTTAATTTGATGGAGATGAGAGCTGGTCGACAGGCTGAAAGAAGGCGTGCTGATGGTGCTTTTCTGTAGCTTGGTGTGCACGAGGATCGAAGACCGGCAAACAGACGTAGAAAATGCAGAAACTGACTCAAATAAAGAGACAAAGTTGAGAGCAACAAGAGAGGAGATGGCGTTAGAGAAGAGAGCTAAGATAGAGAAGCGGCGCGATATGATAATGGAAGTCGACGATGTGAAAAGGAAATTGAACAGAGGAACCGAAAGGAACCGTAAAAGCCCAAAGGAAACCTGACACAAGGACCACTCCAACGAGATTATGACTAGTATGAATGCTTGAGAGGAGAGAAGTATAAAGAAGAAGCTGACGAGAAGCGGATGATGGAGGGGCATAGCCTTACATATGGACGGATATCGCCTTGTACCTTACTGCACAGCTCATCATACAGTGAGTTAAGGCACACGGGCGGTGGTTGGTCGGTAAGGTACCTAGGTAAGGTAAGGTACTTACTTTCCCTTACCGACTATCAAAGCCCAACAGACCATGCAGGCATATCGATCAGCGATTGGTTGTTTGGTGTTCTAGACGCCTGATTTGACCAAAGTGTCAGGGTTGAGAGTGGAAGAGGGGAATGGGATGGGATGGAACAAACAGCATTGGACCTTGGAGAAGCGGGCAAAGACTTTGCATGGGCTGAACTGAGACACGAAGCAGTTTATGTCATATCACATAAGTTATCGCATATCAACTTTTCTAGCATAATTATTACAACAAGTGGTAAAGGGGAGTTGCATGTCAATATGCCTTGTTGGAGGTGTACATGTACCTGGTCCTTCAACTCCTCTCTGCTACAGCTAGGTACGCATCCATTATCTAAAGAACATACACATATTCCCACGGAATTGAATATTTGAGAGGTATAAAGTATATATATAGATATCAAAGGCAGACTTGACTGAAGACCAAGAATATAACTACTAGGTAATGTTGAGCTTTGCGAAAGTCCGGAGATGATTGGAGGGCAGAGGTGTAAGTGGTTAAACTGGGGTCAATTCAAAGTACCTTGCCTCGGAGGGTGATAACTCAGGAATGAACGCATGGCTTGTTTGTCATGGTTTGGTACAATTCTAAGTAGATCTATGCACTGGGGTAATTCTTCTGGCTATATGATACCTCTTAAGGTGAGGTTTCCAAGGTTAGGTACATACAGCTAGATGCCAGCGTTTTCTTTCCGCCAAGCAACCCGTTCCATATGATCAGGAGTGCAACGCTCAAAGGCCTCAACCATATGGCTCGTATAGAAAACAGTTAGATTCTAAATGGTTTCCAGAGTTTAAAAATAAGAATATGCAAAAGTCACTTTTAATTTTCAGCAAGTCTTAGGTTAGTTGTTCACTGTTGTCGTGGTCAGTGAGTCCATTCAACTCAAACCTGAGTGAGTGAGGTGCACGTGATGTCGTTCCTCTAGACGCGCTTAACACTTAACCTGGGGCAGAACTGGGTCAAGCAAGGAGTGCACCTCTTAGGCTCTCCCTACCTTTGTTCAGCAACGACGATATCTGACCGTCCTTTAACAGCAGAACTGACATAACTTCGTATAATTCTCTTGATCAGTTTCCCATTATCTACTAGAACTGGCGACTGGTACAGCTATGGCTTCCCAATCTCATCAGGAGCCAGACCCGCTGGATGTCTTGCAGAATATGGTCAACGATGTCGTAAGTATCACCTCCATCCTTATAATGACTTGAACAAATATCTGACGCTTCATTACAGCTGGTACATACTGGCAAGGCTCTCAGAGCTTCCCGCAAGGATGCTCAAGGCAGCACGCAGTCTACTCAATCAACCCTCAAGTCCAAGTTGCCTGAGTCTATTGATGGTTTCCGGGAAGCCTTACACAAGCTGGAATGGGATATTGTAAGTCACCTTTAGCAACGCCTCGACTCATCAGATCTCACATTATCTTAGATCGATGCCAAGTCTGTTCTCATGCGTGATATCAAGCGTCTACAAGAACAGAAACAGCAGCAGAGCCAGCAGATTCAGCAAAGTCAACCTGCTCCTGTATCCCAACCCCCACAACCTCAGCCGGTTGAATCTCAGTCCAAATCTCCCATGGTCATCGACCTTGAATCATCACCTCCCCCCCCCCTCAGGATCAGCATATGACAGAGATTAAGACTAACAAACCAGTCGCCCCCTTTCCTGACATGGGCATGGGGCTCCTCGATGTCGGCCAACCTATCAGTGTGCAGAATAACGAGACCAGTTCATCTGTAATTCCAACTACTGGACCTGAACAACCGACCACGAAGACAATTGCTCCGATGGCTCCTATGCCAGTCATGGAGCAAAAGCCTATGGACAACCAAAACAATGACGTGACAGACCTTACTGGCGACGGGCCTCATTCAGAACTCAACTTTACAAATATGCAGTTCACGCTGGCTCCAACAAACAACGACTCGCAGAACCCCTCTAATTCTCAGGAACCTTCATTTGACCTTGCAACATTTGCTCCCCCGGAGGGTAATGATGATATACTTGGTCTGGACGACATCCTGCCCACCAGCAACACTTCTCAGACAAATGGCATCTCACAACTACCTGCTGGATCTGCCGATAACGCATCCAAGCAAGACCTGCCAATGGATACAGACAATCAGGGAGCCTCACAGGAAATGTCAACCGATAATTATGACTCGGTTTTTGATGACGAGATTTTCGGTGGTCTCGGTACAGGTGACGGTCTCGCCGATGGAACTGACGACGTTACTTTTGAATCCCTCATGAACGACCGGGATGATGACAACCTAAACTACATGCAAGGAGGCGAATTTGACGACAACTTTCTCCTTGACGCTATGTAGCGACGCTGTTGCACACAAAGCCGCCCAGCACTGAGAACTACATGAAGATGCACCAGGTTTGATTTTCCATACGCATACGGTTGTTGCGCGCATCGTCCACGAAACTGGGTCATCTCTGAGGGTCTCCGACCCTTATTGTCTAGTCATTTATTTGGATTCATGCCAAGATCACTTTGTCTTGGCCAATACCAAGACGAACTAGGCAAAGCTGCACCGGCAGTTGTCAATATGGCACACATCAGAATGTTGGCTGGCACTCAATTCTGTCGTAGTACAGCTTGGCTCGCCGTTGGTCGTGTTATTGGACCCTGACAATCAACGTCAATGATAATACTTGTGTTTGGGAAGCTTGGCATCCTCGATTTTTATTTTTATTTTGGCGTTTTATAGTGGTTCAGAATGTATCGGTAGACATGGATAGGTGTTTGGGTGTTGGGTTAAGCTCACAATGGTGTTCTCGATTTAAGAATGTTGGGTTGATAGGATTTCTAAAGGAATGGTACCAAGTACCACGGATATCATGTTTTATGTACACAACAAAACAGGAAGCTTTCGCTAAATGGACAGGCGCTGAGAAAAATATACAACTCGTCAAGAGCCTCTCATCCTCTGTCTTCTATCAAGCAACATATTCGCCATGAACAATGACCAAAAAAATACAAAGAAAACAGCACGGCCGCTGGCGCATGACAAAGAAAACTATGACAAAGAAAACGTTGATCATCATGATTCATCTTGGGTGCGTCTACACCATTGGGTCCCGTGAGACCGAGACCTCGTGAGGCCTGTTTTTGCACTTAGGTCATGTGGCCGTCGCGGCAGCGCGAGCCTCAAGTTCGCGACGCTTAGCAAGCAAACTCTTGAAGGCGCCAATGCAGCGAACAAGAGCGTCTTCATCGTGAGCGCAGAAACGGTAGCTCTTTTCTTCAGTAATGACCTGAAGGCAATGCTTCTTGCTCTTGCTGAGAGGATCCAGATCGACGACGTTGACGACGGCAGAGAGCGGTAGAATCCACCGAGCTGTGTATTCAGACTCGTCCTTGTAGAGAATGAGGTTACGTGGGCGAAGAACAGCCCACATATCCTTCCACTGGCGCATGCCACGTCGGTGGCGCAAGAGGTAGAGCCGGCCTTGCCATATGACACGGTCAGGGTCTTGCTCAACATTGGACACGCTCGTTTGGCTCGCAGATCGGATACCTTGACCTGGTGGGCGAACCGCTGGAGGTAGATTTCCAGGCGATTGAACAGCAAAACTATCGTAGGACGAATCCTGGGGACGGAAAGCTTCATTGTCGGAAAGGTCGGAGTGCGATGCGAACTCCGCGCCCGATAGTCCCGAAGACTCTAGTATCGACGATCTTCTCCTACCCCCTGCCGAAGTGACATATCTGGGAGCAGATGATCCCATTGGTTCCGGGGAGCTGGAAAGAAAGCGCTCATGTTCATTTGGTCGATTGTTGTCAATAGAGACCGGCTTGATGCCATTATTAGGCTGTTGAGAGGCACGTGGACTAGCAAGGAACATCTCGTCCTCCTCTTCGTCGATACGCGCATCTCTCCGTATCAAATCCATCCATTCCCGAGCATCCTCGGCGGAGTTCGCTTGAAAGTGGTAGTTGCGAGACGGGGAAAAGAGGCCAAAAACATTCTCGCGCTTATGCTTGGGGTCCTTCAATTCGGCGACGGCTGTAAGCTCGGACAAGTAAAGCTGATGTCGTAGTCGAGACTCGCTTTCGTTCTTGTACAAAGAGAGGGTGTTGGGTCGCAGGACAAGGTAAACAGGCTTCCATTTCTGGAAAGGAGTCAGTACTGAACAAGAGCCGGAAGCCGTGGCGTCATGCTTCAAAAAAGGATACCTGGCGGCGGATACTAACCTTTGTCTTTTGCGTGCGCTTCTGAACGTAGCCGCTCTTCAACACGCGGTCAAAATCAAAACAGCCATCGTTGTTGACAGGAGAAAATGCTGCTTCGAGGTGAGATTGGCTGCGAGGGCGAGCAGAAACGTCAAGTTTGGTATCAAGAGAAGAGGTATTGACCGGATGCGCGGCCCTTTCAACGAGAGTTCCGGCCATTGTTTACTATGTTTCGGCGAACGGTATCGAATTCGAGAATGATGATGGTGGCGGTGATGTCACGAACATTGACGGTTCGTGAAGGAGAAGGGGTAGCGTTCGATTCGAAGAATTGCGCAGCAATTAATTAATTCGAGTAATCGGCCGGTATAAACGTCTGGAGATTGGTAGGAGACAAAAAGTAAAGGCCTCGTTGTAAAACGTGAGAAGAACGATGGGCCTCTCGATTGTCGAAAGGCTGGTGTTACAAGCAGGGGTTGCGAACCAGGATATAATGCTTGTAGGAGAGCAGAAGGTCGTGGAAGTCGAGACGATGGAGTTTGTAGGCGTGGAACGTTATACTAATACGGAGTTTAGGTGGTGAGACTTGAGGAGATGAGTCTGGAACAGGTGGTGGCAGTGTAGTTTGTGGTTGTCGTGATTATGTGATGGTGGTGGTTGTCGTGTTAGATTGGATTGGATATTGTTGATTGTTGTGATGAAATGCTGGAGTATTTAGTTACAGGGCGTACGTAGGCAGAGAATGCAGATCGTGGAGAAGGACAAAGAGAAAGAAAGACGGACGAGAGATGATAGAATTATGAAAGAGTATGATAGTGACAGATCGAATAACAAGGTTTGAATGACGATTGGAAGGTATTTGCGGCTTTCGAAGGGACGGAGAGAAAGGAGAAGAAAGGGTGATTTGATCGGCAACGGAGAGGAACGAAGATTGTCGCAGAGTGAAGAGGGGGACGGGATACAGTAACAGAGCACTAAGGACTAAGGCAGAGCTAAGCAATAAGCCAAGTCGCAGATCTGCAGGCCCGGTACTTTTTTGGTACAAGGCGCAACAAGCGAAACTGCCGCTAAATTGCAGTGACGGCTCAGGTATTTCTAGTTGAGTGCCAAGTATTGGGTGTCATGCATGTTAAGTTTGGCCGTAGGCGTTTCAGGCGTTTTAGAAGAAGCGATGTTGTCGAATCAGTTGATGTTTCTTTGAGATGCACTGCTCGCGGACAACACAATGCGGCGTTAAAGGTATTTACTATGCTTATAACTGATGAAGAGAGTTTATAAATAAAGCGGTCAAAGAGAAAAAAAAAGTGTTACAGTTCACCTGCTGGTGTATGTATCTTTGGGCGGCTTGAAAACGGACACCATCAAATAGTCAATCGATACCTTTTCGCATTCGGAATTGAACTTGAACCAAGGAATGAAAGAGGGGTTCACTCTGATTAAGGTTCTTTTACCTGTTGATCCCTCTTCCTCCCAGAACGGGATTACATCAGGTGGCGGAAGCATCATGGAGGTCGAGACCCTTGAACAAATACAGTAAACGCCTCGTAGAGACTGAATTAAGCTATCAAGTCAGTCTTACGTATCGCCTGACGTTACCACCCTCCATCACCAGCACCAGCACCAGCACCAGCACCAGGCAGAGATTAACTATTTATGAAAGATGACAGTGGGCATTGTCTCTTTGGTCATCTTGAGTGAATGATCAATTCGATACTGGCTGTGCAAACAAGGCAGCTGAGTTAAGTCGTCCGCATATTCCGCAGCCGAAAACGATCACGAAAGTGGCTTATTCCTATTCTGTGAGTGAATCTGACGATTTCAGCTCTTACAACTCTTTTGTTGGGAGAGGAGTTTCTAGTCTTTTTTCATATCATGTGTGCATCAGCCCGCATATGCAGTGTTTAGCCAAGAAATGTCATCTCGATTGGTGACAAACTGCTCTAAACTGACCTGGTATAAATAAATAAGTAAATAATAATAAAGGCCCGGCCCGGTCAGGCCAAGACCACCTGGTCAATCGCTTAATCTGATACAGGGCGCTTCGACAAGAGTCCACAATGTGAGACGATGCCATGCTATGCTATGCTATAATATCATAATGCTCAGTGGCTATAATATTGAGATTCAGAGAGTTTCATACTACGATGAGGTTCCCTCCCTGTTTCGCTCTGAGCCGAATAGACGATAGACGCTTGCTGGTGGAGAATTACAATGGGAGGTCTCATAGCGACGTAACACTCGTTGAACGGGCTGTTAATTAATTCCATGCTTTCAAGTGTAACAGGTGAAAGTGAAATAATAATAACAAAAAAAACGGATTGATAATCAGCTTCAGGTGCTATCAACGGCAGTGTATTCCGTTAACACTATCACGATTTATAGTCGATGACTCTTTTCGTTTGAGTCACCGGCGAATGCAGCCATTGACTAAACGCGCTCAATACTTGCCGAATCTGTTTAGTCCATGGCATGAGATTATTCACCTCTTCTCAAGAAACCAAACGCTTCAGTTAATCCTAATTATAAGTAGTCAACATGAAGCCAATTGATTATTCGAATCCTTGCAATATCTCGAGTGGCCTAGAACAGCACCAACACATAACCACCAATACCTTAAGTTACCGTCTGTGGCTGTTTCGCTTTATTACACATCCATTCACCCACTCCAAATCACCATGTCTTTACACGAACAACACAACATTCCCACAGATTCCGAGCAGGAAATTCGGTCCAAAGTAGAACAAGTCCTGAAAGGAACCCCTTTTGTCGTCTCAAGCCTACGAAAGCTCAGTGGTGGCACTGCCAACTTCATGTACCATGCCACTCTCGAGAAGCCATCGACTGAAGGCAAATATCAAAATGGTGTCGTGATCAAGCAGGGTGAGGGCTACGTTGCACTCCATCCTGCATTCAAGATTGCAACTTCTCGATGTGTAAGGGCGACACTGAGAGGACTGGCCAGCAAGCTGACTGACATCTTTGTAGGCTATCGAGTATGAGTCTCTTGTTCATCTTGCTGAACTCCCCCCAACAGAAACACCATCATGCAGAATATCAATTCCAGAGACGTATTACTTCAATCAGGATAGCAATACTCAAGTCCAAGAATATCTCTCAGAAGCTCTCAGTCTGAAGGACTATGCCCTCAAATACTACGCTGCCCCCACACCCCCAACTCTTAAAGAACAATGCGAGCAGCTCGGCCATGGTCTTGGATCTTGGCTTCGTGCGTTTCACAGCTGGAGCCAAGAGCCCAAGCAAGCAGCCCTACGAGAGACGTTTGCGGGGAACAAGGAGATGCAGGGTCTCAAGAACATGATCAATTACCTACAGCTGCTGCAGGTGGTGGATCGACACCCTGAGATTCTTGGCGATGCAAGGGACGTTTTGCAGGGTGCCAGTGATCTGGCTGCCGGGGAACTTGCAGATGAATCAGCATTGTATCCCATTCATGGTGACTTCTGGACTGGAAAGTGAGTCCTTGTATTATTGTTGCTTACCATGAGGCTGCGGTCAGCTGACTGCAAACAGTATCTTACTTCCTGACACTCCTCTGGTGAAAGGCACTCACACTCCCATTCGTATTGTCGACTGGGAGATGGCTCAGATTGGTGTTCGGCCTCTAGATCTCGGCCAGGTCATCGCTGAGCTTTGGCAACTCAAGCTATACAAGGACATTGCTGCAGGCGAGTGGCTGATTCGGGCATTTGCCGATGGCTATGGTGCTGTAGATGATGACTTTGCTTACCGCACAGTTATCCATGTTGGTGTTCACTTGATCTGTTTTGGATCTCAGACGCCGGGATGGGGCGATGCTGAGCAACAGAAGGACGTGGTCAGAATAGGCAAGGAGATTATAGTCAAAGCCTGGACCAGGGATCGTAGCTACTTTGACGGGCATGTCCTTGGTAGCCTGTTCAGGATCTAGAATTGCTACTACAAATATGTATAAGGGACCTGAGCGAATATCATCAGGCGGATATGTCAATGCTTGCTTCATTGGTTGTTATGTGTTTGCAGAATGTGACATCCCTTCGATGGGCAAAACTCTGTGACAATTATGGCCACAGCGGGACTCGGCTACAGCTCTCCGTGTATATATTTAAAGTGCCATTGATATAAGTATACGAGTTAAGGACGTCTTAATTATCTGATATAAGAACCCAGTGGTTGAAGAAAACTCCAGGTACACACCAAGGTTGGGGACACTACATGCCTTTTATTAAACATATCGAGGGTCACTTCTTAGAAGCATCCTAGAAGTGTACGCATTTCCTCATATTCGTTCAACACGTTTGAAAGGAATAAAAAGCAATCAAAAAAGATAAGTGGCGCTGAAAGTCGTGTAAGTGGAATGAATGCCCAGATTTACATTGAATTCGATGTTCAAGTGTACGAAAGGAAATTTAAAACGTATAAATAATTAAACTAAAATATAGCAATATTTGTCTTTAGGCTTAGAGCTCGGTTATAACTATCCACAATTGTGTTCCTCATATTCTGTGGTAAAGTTGGCTATCGTGATTGTTTTATGACCGATCGGTTGGAGGCGGCGAAATTTTCAACTTTTCACATTACTCAACACTACCTTAGTTATCACGCAGTTGCTGCCCAACTCAGTCATCGACTCACTAAAACTTATTTCTCGACATCTGAAAGAACCATCGCAAGCAAGAAAAACTTGACACGCAAAAACAAACAAACGAAACTGTTCTCATTTTCCATTACCTGGTCCCTCATTGGCGGCTACCCTATATAAGCCACCCGAAAACCCATCTCCAACTCCGTAGGTAGTCATCTCCGCGCCGGCATCCAACTCAAATGCCTTCCCCGGACACCAGCCGGCCTTGTAAGCGATGCAAGGTCGAAGATGCTGCTTTCCTCCTAAGAACAGACCCAACATGTCGGTGAGTTATCTTGCTTCTCTCGTGAAACTTCATCGTTTTGCCCCTCATGCTAATGTGACTCAGTGATTGCTACATCCAATATGTCGCTTATAAACTAAACAAGCGCCTCGGCGCACTTCATAAAGACACTCGCTCTTCAAAGAAGCTTACCACTCGGAGATACCTGGCTGGCCTGTCCTTTGGGCCTTCATCTAGTGTTCTGGCTCAGTTGCTCAGCGAGCAGGCTCATCACCACTCAGAGAACAAGGCTTCTTCGCCATTTGAGCCGGTGATTGTCCATATTGATACTGAGTTATCATACTCTGAGGGAGAATCTCCTGCTAAGATGCTGCTGGAGGAGTATCGTCGTGTATTACCACATGCTACGTTCGAGTGTGTTCCTCTAAAGGACGTCCTCTCTGTGAAGAGCATCGACTGGTCAACACTGCCCCTTGACGCTGGCACACCGGATGATGATCCAAACGCTCGCCTCCAACGACTTTTCAATGCTTTACCCACATTGACCTCACGAACAGATGTTCTCCGACAGCTTATTCGTCACCTTCTTCTCCAGAAAGCTCAGGAGCGCTCGTGCTCAGCGCTTCTCCTCGGCCACAGCACAACAGCACTCGCCGCCTTGACACTATCCGAGGTCGCCAACGGTAGAGGCTTTGCAGTTCCTGTACAGGTTGCTGATGGCGTGACAACTGTATGCACATACGAGGCAGTCGAGGGCGCCGCCGCACAGGAGACCGGTCGGCAAGAATTCCCGGTGTACTATCCTCTACGCGAGATCTTTCGCAACGAGCTGGTCCAGTACATCGATCTTGTACCCTCATTAAAGGAAGTTGTTCCTGTCTGTCAAGGAGGTGCCAAGACTGGAAACAGTGTCATTTCACACAAGGACCTGAGCATTGAGGAGGTCATGACACGGTACTTTGACAGTGTAGAGGAGGGATATGCTGGAATTGTTGCCAACGTGGTGCGCACAACTACAAAGCTGGACCGAGTTCCTGGAAAGAGCTTCTGCGGAAGCTGCGGAATGTCACTTGATGCCGAGGGAGATTCGCGATGGGCCGGAGAGATAGGCGATGATGCCGGGGACGGGCCGGGGGCAGCCGGTGCAGGCCGGCTATGCTATGGCTGTAAGCGGTCAATCCATGGATAGAGCATCAATTCATACAAAATGTGAACATTCATATTGATATATTCTGGTATAACACAGTATCTATCGTGACTAAAAACTCCTCAAATGCGCCACGCCGCCTTTTGATTGCCAAACCCATGACCCAGGCGGTGCCAAATGCTCCTATTGTCCTCCTAGATATTCATGTAAATGAGGACTTGAAATATTTCCATCCTTTTCGTCATATATAAAAGCAGTTTGCTCATAGATCGATGTTCGCTAATCACTCTGCCGCTCGTTTATTGGCCTCTACTATTCGTTTCATCATATTTTAGTCGCCATCTCCAGCCTTCCAGGGAGAATGCGATCCTCGATTTTGCGGACCAGCTTATTGGTCTGCTCAGCTAAGCTCAGAGTGAGGATGGTGTGGGGTAGAATTCGGGCAAGATGAGGGAAGAACCCCTTGTACAGAGCAAAGAGACCCTCGGAACGAATGGTTTTGGAGAGACAATCGGCGACACTGCTATAAAGATTGCCGTTCTGGTTGTACATACGGGACATGATGGTGTCTGAGATGTAAAAGTCAGCCGCTAAATTTAGCTTTTGCTTGAGTGTAAGACTTACCAGGAGGATGCATAACGCAGCAGACAACGAAACCACTGATAGCACTGGAAGCCAAGTGCAGACCGGGACCCTCTTCCATATCAAAATGACGAACCAGGCGACGCTTAGCGAAGAAGTATGTGGGGAGCTGGACAGAGCTGCCAAAAGCAGTTCTGATCATGGCAGCTTGCACACCACGGTAGAGACCACTGATACCCTCAGTTCCATAGATAGACTTGAAACCATGCCATGCGCCCCGGTAGTGGTGCTGTGTGCCAACTGGTCGGAACGCCGAGAAGCTCTGTAATCGGGTCTTGACGAGGAAGAAGGGGCTTCCAGCGGCGGCGCCGATGACGCCCGAGGCTGCACCGCAGAACATATTGATGCCCAAGTTCTGGGCCTTTCCGTCCTTGAGGAAGAAGCTCGCGAGCGCATTGCGCATAGGGTCGTAGAAGCCGAGACGGCAGCCATTGAGAAGGATTTGGTAGATATAGGCCGCGCCAATTCCGCGGTAGATATTACGAACACCTTCGTTGCGCACAATGACGCTCACACCATGGATCGGTCCCCTGTAATGGTGAGGTTGGTGGCCCTTGTTTTGAAGCTCGCCTTGCAACTGCATGCTATACAAGAAAAGAGTTAGCATACTGTTGGGACAAGATCGCGTGAAAGACCCAGAACATACCGAATTTTGACCGTCTCAAAAGGATGTGTTGCAGTAACTGCACCGCAGGCGGCAATGCCGCCAGCAATGAAGGCGCTATTCGCGAAGTCAGCACAAGAACTTGGGCGCGAACAAACCCCCATGAATTAGAGGGTCGATCATTGAGCACCAATGGCCCGAAAGCTTACCCAACAGTGGTCGACATGACCCCGAGCTCTCCAAACGCGAGGAAGCGGCCGACAGTTGCTAGAGAAGGATATAAGGAGAGATTGGGCGAGGGAACGAGATCCCTATAGGGGTGAGCTCGGGCGAGAGAGCTGTCCTCTTCAATCGGCGACCCGAAGACACCGAAATAATGCAGAAGAAAGAAAGTTATTTGAGTAAGGTTCAAGAAGAAGATTTGGGAACGTGGAAAAGAAGGGTTTCACACCCGTTGCCGTAACCAGCGGCTTCGGACCCTATGGCAGCACGAGAAATTGTCAGCGCTGAGGTACCACTCGTAGCGCAATTACACTAAAAAGGTACAAGCTTTCTACGTAATGAATTGGGGGAACATGAACCTTCGTATGGGGCTGAAGATATATAAATTATTGGGTACTACTATTTGACTCTACAAGGTGTAAATTGCATCTTCTGTCAGCGGCTGACAAAGTTGATAAGCCGACTTTCAACAATGTCAGTGATACTTGAGATTGTTCCTGAGGGTATTTCCGGGCCTGCACTATCCGTATCGTACCTCACACGATCACATCCATGTCTCTCTTCGCCGTTTAATACTTTTCATCTTTTTTGCGCTGGATGCATTTCATATGCCGACGTCGGCGGTCTTTTTTCGCGGGGAGGGCTGCGGGTCCTTGCGTCAGGGCCGCTGGGCCGCTGTACATCCCCTGGAAATGGAGGACGACGATTGGATCTGATTCGCTAGAGTGGTGATTTACTGCTATGACGCTAGGGTCAAAGGGAAAGACAGGGCAGCTAGCTGCTGGGTCGGCGATTCTGTTTGCTCTGAGCGGCTTGTTACGGCTCGGGCGTTTGTATGCCGTCTCCGATTTCAATTATACCGAGGGGACAGCACTCTATTGGATTCATATACGCGTGGGGAATAGATACATAGGAATTGGATACCCAACCTCAGATTCACTGGAACCAACGATAGCGAATGTCGAAGGTACCTATAATTAACCTAAGTTACAGAGCCTGTCTTACTGAATTAGAGGATGATACCCTGGACAAAGACCAACCTCGGGGTACGTACCTCGTGGCTCATGGTGCACCCCGCAAAATTACACCCCTCCAGCTAAGGGAGCTTCATGACAAAAGAATCCCATCTCCAAAACACGCTTAGAAGTCGACTATTCAAGACAACAGTATCAACAAAAACATCCGCCACAACTGCTTGACTCTTACTATTATATGACATAGTCAATTATACCATTATCGCGACTAGATTGACCTGGCTTCATATTGCCTGCGACCCTTTGTGACTCGTACAATCGACAATCTCTTTCAACACGCGCGCGTGGGCTTTGTCCCAGAGTTACCTACCACCATAACCTCTTCGATACTACTCCCTGCATTGCCTCACTTCTCTGCCCACAATGTCCTCAACACCCATGGACATCGATAGGTCTAATACACCAAATGGCGCATCGCTTAATATTCACCGCACCATTGGCACCACCGCCTCCGTCTCTAACCTGTCCGATGTCATAGGCAGCTTTCGTCCTACCAAGGTATGAAACCTGCCTCAACTACTGTACGCTTCATACATGGACTAACCGTCTCCTCCTGTGTGTAGCTATTCCGACGTGATGATATCAAGGACAGTCGTCCACAGCCTCACGTACTGTCCCTCGACTACGATGACGAAGGCCAGCTCGTCATGGCCTCGGCCAGCGACGAGACGATACAAATATACCACGTCAAAGAAGGCAGACATGACAAGAGCCTAGTCAGTAAGAAATACGGAGTGAAACTGGCCAAATTCACACACACAGCCTCGAGCATCATCTATGCCAGCACAAAACAAAACGGTAGCTCACTCTACATGCTGTAAAATGAATTCCATGCTGACCGATTTTTGCCTCTAGACGCTATTCGATATCTTGCCACACACGATAATTCATTCATTAGATACTTCGAAGGTCACGAGGGACCTGTAACTTCACTGGCTGTTCACCCAGGCAGCGACAACTTCATCTCATGCTCACAAGACAACACTGTGCGCCTCTGGGACACACAAACGAAGAATTGTCAAGGTCAACTCTTTCTTCGATCGCCCTACCTCGCCGCATATGACCCGTCTGGAACTGTGTTTGCCGTCGCCTGCACGAGTAGCGGCACGGTATTACTCTACGATGCGCGAAACTATGACAAGGCTCCTTTTGCAACGGTTGATATTGTCGAACAGTGCAGGAAGGTAGAATCACAATGCCTCAATAAGGGATGGACAAAACTCGAATTCTCCAATGATGGAAAGTCGTTACTTGTTGGAACTCGCAGTAATGGCCACTTCCTCCTGGACGCTTTCGAGGGCACCCTGAAAGCATATCTTCACAAGCCAAACGGCGGGACTCGACGATTGGCTGTAGGAGAGACGGCATCAGCTGATAGCGCATCGTCAGACTCGTCAAACATGGAGAGTAGTGGCGAGTGCTGTTTCGCTCCCGATGGTCGTTATGTTCTCAGTGGCTCCAAGAAGGACGTCCTGGTCTGGGATACCATGGCGGCTCCCAATGGTAACAAAGTTCTGGAACCTAGCTGGACACTGCCTGATAAGAGAGAGGCAGCTGTCCTAGCCTTCAATCCTCGGTACAACTTTTTCGCTACGGCTGATCAGGAGCTGTTGTTCTGGCTGCCCGATCCTCATGCCTGAGTCGTGCAAACGAGAAGACGTCAGGTGGACGATCACTTGAGTAGTTAAAATGGTTGGAGTAAACAATAGATACCCTTGCATTATGGTATATCGTGATGATGTCGCATATAGTGACTCAAACAGAATTAAGGAGAATCATAGTCACATAAAATCTGCCTGTTCAACGGTGGTCTAACCAGAGAAGCTTTCATTTATAATATGATATCCAATTCGCAATATATGCATTATTTATGTAATCGTTCCCTTCACTGGAAATACTCAAGAGACTAACACGGCCTCTTCATTGATCGAATCAGTTATGATAAAGGGGAGAGAGAGAGAAGGAATCAATGCAATAGGAGAAGGTTGTGATAAATTTCGATGCTATTCGTGTGCGATTAGTCTCGGAACGAGATCTTCACGGACTTCCACATTTGCCAACTTGGGGCATGCTCCATGCTCTATCAAAACCTGACCGATATCCCCTCTCCCCTTTCTGACGTAGTACCACAACGGTGTCTGTCCATCAATGGCCTTATTGAAGTGTCTGATCTTCTTACAGACAAGTCTGGCTATATCAATTTCTGCCTTTGCATACAATGGATTACTCAGTGATGTTGTCAGGTTCATAATGGGAAGCGCTTCGCCCTGCGCCTGCGAAAGATCACCCTCTGGCATTGTGTCAAAGTCGGCTTCAGCTCCGGCTTCCAGTAACATTCTGACAATCTCGTGGTTCTCGTTTCGCTTGAGTGCATCCGCTAGCAATAACCGCTTCTGGCCTGTCTCCTTGTTGATCGGATTTGGCGAAGCACCCGCTTCTAGAAGAAGCCGGACAGCTTCGACGTATCGCTTGCTTATGGCAAAAAGTAGGGGACTGACGTTTTTTATTGTATTTGCGTATATATCTGCGTTGGCCTGTTGGACGAGATAACGAATAGTGCTGAAGTGATTGTGGCGAGTGTCCAGAGCATTCAGAGCACCCTTGCTCTTAGGCTTGTTGAGTTCTTTGCTCCAATCGCAGTCATCCATTGGGCCCCAAGAAACGAGATGGCATAAAGCTGTTTCGTCGGTGTCGTGTGTGACATTAACGTCCGCTCCTCTACTGATGAGCAGTTTGGCCTAATGCATTAGTTAGCTTGTCATAGGATCCCCCAAAGGTTACCGATCCGAAAGATGTCTGCAACACTTACCACATCTTCATTCAACGCGTATGCCAAAGGAGGTAGCTTCTTCTCATCTGGTGTATTTGGCTTGAAACCATTGCCTAATAGTAATGTGGCGATTGCTGTGTTCCCACGAAGGCAAGCTAGGTGCAAAAGGCCGCTCCGGCTTCCCCAGTGCAGATACCCATAGGCTGGACCTGAAGGACTAGTCCTCCGGGCGGTCTTATATCGTAAGGTGTAGAGATGATCATTTTGGAAAGACTGGTTGATCTTGCTTTCAACATCTGTGCCGGTCCGTTCGAGAGCTTCCAAGGATCCTTTTGCTGTTTCGAGGACACCAAACCAGCTCGCCCATTGAAGGGCTAGGGGCTGCTGGTGATCGAGTTTGAGTGAGTCTTTTGCATCCTTGTCGTACAGACGTGGAAGGACAACCGCTTTGAGACTTTTGCAGGTCAGTGCCAAATAGAGCAGGTCCTTGTAAGGCTCTTTTAGCAAGGAGATCTCATCTGTTATGAGATGCATGATCTCAACAGGCATAGCTAATTCTAAGAGGAAGGAGTTTTAGTGGCAAATCCAATGAGTCTAGAATATATAGACTTACCTTATTAGTACGTCTTCATAATAACTACATCTTGTACAATAAGTTTCAGTTGAAAGTAGGGATCTCGTCTCTTCTATTTCGTTGCTTACAAGGGTGACTTACCATTGAGATGCGCAATCGTTCTTTGTTTAGGCCGATCCATGTTGGCTTGATGGGACCAAATATGAAGATTTGTGGTGGTTAAGAAGAACGAAGTGATATTTGTTGTGTGGAGGTTACCTTTTGTATGGCCAAAGGTGAGAAAAGCCCAAACGGCCGGGTGTTGGTTCAGTTGTAAGATGAAGACAAACTATTGGATGGCCAGTGCCTGACTGCTGCCTATGCCTCTGCCTACAGACGGCCTACGCCTGCTGCCCTAGAATAATTTTATGTTTGTTTTACGGGCTTATTGCCTTAACGATTATTCGGTAGTCTCTGAATCTGAAGCCTTATGATGAAGCCTTATGCTTCATTCATTAATTTTTCTAGTCAAACTGGGAGGTATTAGTTTATACTTCCCTCTTTTTCTCGTATTTAATACTTGTCTCCCTAGAAATGCGGTGGATGCTGTTAATAAGTGGATATTATATATAATACTCTTGAGTTGAGGCAATAAATAACTTTGTAGTCACAAGTTAGCTCAATATCACTGATACTTGTGATTCAGCTCAAGAAAGATCCTGAAGCAAATGGGAAGTTGGTGTAAGCCTAATTCTTGAATAAGCTACCTAGTAGGTTATAGATTCTTGATTGACTGAGATATGTTTAATTGACACCCTGTAATCGAGGGTCAATATGTACTAGATATACTTCTAGAAGTCTATCGAGAATTAATTAGTTTTCACTTTGATGTCTTACCTTGCCAATGAACTTGTTAGGTACTGAAGAACGGCTAAGTAATGACTCTATTCGTGGCAATCAGGCTTGGCTGAGTCACTGTAATACCACGACGATGCGTCTCCTGTAATAAAACAGTCTCACTTATCTGATATTGAAATTTGAGTTCTATCTCAGACACTATATGAGGATTTTCAAGACCAAGCAAATCGCATTTGGGGGTTGTACCGTGGTGTTGTGGCGCTCAGCCGCGCCGGCCCCTCATTGAGCCCCACCATAAGAATATGCCCACCTTCTAAATCCAACCTCATTCAACTCTCCACATCAAGAAAACGAACGACACTGCATCTACAAGCGTCCTGTTGTGTCTCCTGTGACCATTGATAAACGCATACTCGAGCATATATCTCAGAATATCTTTCTTTGTAGACGGAGACTGGATACAGCTGCACCCTCGATCATTCCCAAGCCGAAATAGGCCAGCACACGACATCATCTTCAACATCCCGACAGACAATATAATACAAATCTCGACGACATGGTGTATCTCAAGACAAGCCAGGAATGGCTCGACCAGTCTATGGCTCTCTTAGAAGCCCGTCCCGCCACCGTACGTCCATGCGCCGACCACCCAATCCCGAGCTAACCACAACACCATAGACCCTCATCACCACAACATACAAGCTCAAGCCTGGCCCTACACGACCCGATGCAGACGGCGACACACCCGTCACCAAGCCCCCACGCGGTGCTCTCGTCCTCAAGGCCTACGATCCCATCAGCGGCGCGACCATCAAGTACCGCACCACAAAGGCGCAGGAGGTTACTCGTCTGATACATGCTTCGTTGGGTCGGCTGGGAAGGAGTATGGCCGCGGTGCCGGATGTGCCTGAGGTGACGATGGCAGATGGCGATGGTGCAACTCCTGCGGAGGAATCACAGGCTGCTACACCGACACCGCAGGCGACACAAGGGGGTGGAGGTGGAAAGAAGAAGAAGAAGGGCAAGAAATAGGATATCAGCATGATGAGTTGCTTGAGTGCTTATGGCAGATCCAATGGATATTCGTGGATATGAGGATTGATGATCATGGAATGAAGCTTGTAGCAGATATGACATTTAAAAAGAGCAGCATTGTTAAATGCAGAATCCTCATTCGGGAGATGCCACTTTGGAGATTTCTTATATTCCCAAGTCTCTCACTACACGAAACCAATAGCAGGCGAGTCTGCGAAGTCTATTGTCGATAGCTTCAACCATGAGTAGAGGCCTAAAGGGCAAGCAAATATAAAAGCACGCAAAGTCACTGGCAACGATCAAAGGGTATACTAATCTAATTAATTCATATCTATCTAGGAGAGTGGTAAAATAATATCGTCATCCATAAATACGATTAAGCCGTCAATGCTATTTTCATCCACCCTGAGTCCAGATCCCCATCCCCTAACGCCGTGCCGATCCGTGCAAATCCAGCTTCCGGATCCAAAGTATGATTGAGACCTTAACCGTAGTATTAACCAAGCATCGCTGCCCCGAGGCCCATTTCAAATGTACAAGAAGTAAAACAGGGTATATTGTTCACATGTGCGCGTGCCAATGGGCAACTGCCCAGGCAGAAGGAAAGAGAAACGACGAGGCGAGACGTTTAGAAATCGTCGTCAAAGGTGAAGTCACCGCCGTTCTCACCCTTAGGGGACTCGTCCGCCTCAGTTTTCTTAGTGGCACTGTGGAGGACACCGGCCTTCTGGTAGTCGGCAACACGCTTCTCGAAGAAGTTGGTCTTGCCACCAAGGGAGATGTTCTCCATGAAGTCAAAGGGGTTGCTAGCCTTGTAGACCTTCTCGTTGCCAAGAGCGACGAGGAGACGATCGGCGACGAACTCAATATACTGCTTCATGAGGTCAGAATTCATGCCGAGAAGGGCACAGGGGAGAGCCTCAGTGAGGAACTCCTGCTCAATGGTGACGGCATCAGTGATGATGTCCTGGATCATCTGCTTGCTGGCACGACCCTTAAGGTGAGAGTGGAGGAGGCAGGCAAAGTCAGTGTGGAGACCCTCATCACGAGAGATGAGCTCGTTGGAGAAGGTCAGGCCGGGCATGAGACCACGCTTCTTGAGCCAGAAGATAGAGGCAAAGGCACCGCTGAAGAAGATACCCTCAACAGCAGCGAAGGCAACGAGACGCTGGGCAAAGGAGGAGTCCTTATCCTGGATCCATCGGATGGCCCAGTCGGCCTTCTTTCGGATGCAAGGAATGGTCTCAATGGCGTTGAAGAGGTAGGTTCGCTGGGCGGGCTCCTTGATGTAGGTGTCAATGAGAAGGGAGTAGGTCTCGGAATGGATGTTCTCCATCATGATCTGGAAGCCGTAGAAGCAACGAGCCTCGGGGATCTGGACCTCGCCACTGAATCGCTCAACGAGGTTCTCGTTGACAATACCATCAGAGGCAGCGAAGAAGGCAAGGATGTGAGAGACGAAGAACTGCTCATCGGCAGTCAGGCGATTGTTCCAGTCGTGGAGATCCTTGGAGAGATCAATCTCCTCGGCAGTCCAGAAGGAAGCCTCAGCCTTCTTGTACATTTGCCAGATCTATCATGGTCTGTTAGCATGGGTCGCGTGTGGGGTGACCACTTTACGCGTCAAAACGCGTCACATACCTCATGGTACTTAATGGGGAAGAGAACGAAACGTTGAGGGTTCTCCTGAAGGAGAGGCTCATCGGCTTCCTCAGACTTGATGCCAGGGGCAACAGCGGCCTTGGTCTCCTCCTTCTTGGGCTCTTCGACAATCTTTGTCTTGAGGTCGGTGGTATCGAGGGTCTTGTTCAAAGGCTCGTTCTCCTTGTTGGCAACGCCGAAGTCGAGCTTCTTGACGGGAGACTCCATGTTGAAGTTCTCAATGGCGGAAGCAGCCTGTGATAAACGTGTTAGGATTGAATTGATCGTGGTGGGCATGTGCAGCGGCGTGCACTTGGGAGGACGTCACATACCTGCTTCGAAGGAGTGATTTGCGCAGCCATTGTATTGTGAATGTAAGTGTCTGAAGAAGAATGGTAGAATTAGGTTGATCAGAGCAATACAGAAACAAGACAAAGGCTTTGTATGTGCGTGAAGCTCTTGAGGTTGAGGGATTGTGGGTTGCGGTGGTGATGGTCTGGTCCAAAGTAAAGAATGGGATGAAGGCGATGGGCTTTTGTATAAGTCTTGATGCGCTGTCACGTGGAGCTAGAGCGCGTCAGGTCGCGCTGGGCAATACAGATAGCGGGCCGTGTTAAAGTACTTTTACTGCGTCAGGGCAGGGGAGTCACTGCGCGTCACTGGGTGAACCAGGGGCTTTCGGCGCCATTCGGACTGCTACTGGCAGCACCCAAGACGCTAGTGCTGGAGCTGGTACCATGGAGATATCCAGCCACCAGGATGAATGAAGCAAGTGAGACGCGTAGATTCGCGTTTTAGGCAAATTCACGTTCTTCTTTGGTATAGTTCATGTGCTATACTTCGTGTTTCTCTCAATTGCTCCACTGCCTTTGTACGGTACCTGCTTTGTTGCAGGGAGTGATGATTCAGACTTTGTCAGGATTAACGTCATGGGCATCTTTTATCAATCAGCACACTTTGACGTGAAGATCCATTCATGGCCTCCCTTGTTCACGTCGTTGGGCCAATGTATGCGAAATGGGCTGTGGCCAGGGCACGATAGTGGTGCGAGGCGGGACTGAACTCATGAGACTATACCCGGCGGTAGAAGTCATGATGAGGTCCTACTGTGCATTTATGCAAAAATAATGGCCATCGAACCTTTTTTGCAATTGCTATAAGCGCCATTCAACTGCTACACACTTTCCCCGTAATGCAACTTCACTCCCCAGGGTGAGAAACGCGTTCCTGGGGTTACACCGCGTTCCAGCCTGGGCCCTGAATCTGACGTGATGGGCCTAGGGATGGAACGCCTCCTACGAGCTCCCTTTTGCTACATGCAGTCCCTAAAATTGCAACTAAATTGAGAACCAGCCCTCAATCAGCTTGGACCAGGCTAAGGTGAGACCGCATTCAAATTGAAACCTCTTAGATTCCTAGATCGGAGGCAACAAGATCAGTGTTCATCTCTTTCACGGTCCCACTCGAGTCAGTTGCTTGGTCGATGAAAGTGCCAAGTAAATTTATCAGATCTTATATTCTAATTTAATTCGAGGATTACGACCCACGCGCGACTGCACCCACTTTATCAATCAGTAAGTGTCATGGCGCCTCATAGCTTCGTAAGGTAAGGTATCCATACTGAACATCACTCATAGACAACATAACAATGAAACGCGTCTCCATGTTCCGACCATACAAGCATTACCTACAATCCTCACCCCATCGTGAATAATCCTGACTCACAAAGGGCCCGCCCTTCCGTCAGCGTGGTCGGTCTCTTCTTCCCTTTCCTTTCATTTCCTTTGTCGTCCATGTAAATCCGAGTTGCCGACTTTAGCGTCGGTCTCTATCTCGTCGCTGCGATCTTTGGCTTCGGGACCCACGCTCAACTTCGCCTGTTTCAATATCGCGTGGTTGAGCTCTGCTGCGACCAAAGAATCCGCGGCTCTCGCGGACTCGTGCCGGTTCCGGCTCGATGGGACGATCATCACGGCGACCATCTCGGCTTCGGCTGCGACTGCGGCTGTGTCGACGACGCTCCGACATGGAGGGATTTCGCGATGGTGGGTTTGACACATACTCTGGTGGATCCTGGGCTTGAAGTCGATCAAATTGTTCAGGATCGCTGGGGTCAATGGCTGGCACCGGCAACCCACTCTTCTTCAAGTTCTTGCGTCCTTCTTCACGCAAGTGTTGCTCGAGAAGTGCAGCATTGCGAGTATTGGCTTTGAATGCCGCGTCGGCTATATCTCCTGCAAAGGGAACAATTCCAATGACAAAGTCGATGATGATGTTGAACATCATCCTAGACTTGACAGAGGTTGGCAGCCCACCATCGATTTTCATGCAGGTCCTCATAACCAGAAGGGCAAGGAACATATCCAAAACGTCACCAATTCTATAAAGTCCATGTTAGCTTCGACCGAAAGCCATATTGGGGTTGGAGGTCAAACTTACGCAGGGATTAATCCCAAAACGCTGCCCCAGCCAAAACGGATGCCGCAGCAACTGAAAAGAGCCAGATCTAGGCGATAAGCTCGGCGCTTGACCTTGGTCAAGACTTTGCCATCATTGTCGGAGATGCCTGGGGGAAGAGCCTTCTTTCGCTTTTTAACTTTGCCAGTAGGCGTTCCATCTAGGCGAGTAGCTGGGACATGCTCAAAGTAGGGGTCCTGTGAATGACGCGTTAGTTTGCCTGCTCCAGCACCATGTTGAGTCGATTCTTTCATACCTCAGTTCCAAATTTGTTCTGGACAGTCTCTCCCAAGATCTTCTTGGTGACGAGCTTTGCGACAAGTGATGCCATGTTTTGCAGCAAGAGTAGCACTTCGCTTAAAGAAGTCGTTGTGCGACCCAGGATGAGGTCGTTGGTCTTCTTAATATTGCTGAAGCGTCGAGCTTGGCAGAGGCGGGAGTATGATCAAAGACAAGACCACTCCACTAACAAGAATGTATGTCACTGCTTGAAATTCCGAGACAACAGATTGGGCGAGCCAAGACAATTAGAGGGTGCTTCTCTCATTAAATAAAGGGAGGACAAGGTCTTGAAAGAAAGACCAGTCTTTGCGCTTGTAGTGAATTTACTGTACAACTGGTCGGTCAATTACCTGTTTTCGAGTACTTATGATGTCTGTCCATGGTGAGGGAGCCCAGTCAGTGCTGTGACCGATGATGTAATTTTGGCGGCCACCCGAACTTCTGGAACCTACAGCACTGCAGCAAGCCAGCCCCTGCGGTCTAGAAACATTAATGCGTAGGCTTAAGCTCAACAAAACCGGTTAAACCACTGCTGTAATGCCGATCATGCACATGCGCTGGCATATTTTTCAGTGGCGATTTAACATTGCCTACCTCTGAAACGTCCATGCAACTCTAGATGGGAGGGAACCTGTTGGAGAAATTGAGTTGGACCACCATGAACGGCATTGCACCGCCACATTGATTGAGCTAATCTGTGGCGAGTGATCGCAATCGTGGCTCAGCAGCTAGCTCCCTCTGAATTGGAGACTGGGCTCCATCTCACGAAGCACTGGACCTACCTGAAAGCGGGCACCTCAGCTAAAGGCAAGGTACCTAAGGCGCGAATGAGAATGGGTCTTTGACCTCGCTGGTCTCATTGCGATCCAATGCTATCAATCCAAACCTGACAACAACACCAACAACAAATCACATCCGAAATCCACCATCTCGGCCTCTGCACTGCCGCCTCGACCCCGCGTGTCCTCAAAGAGACGTTGCATTTTACTGAGACTCGTTCACATTCACTTCAGACAGCGTCCCTAGCCAAGGTAGCTTCTCGAGTGACTTAGCTTTCCTCTTCCGCTTCGACCACCGCTCGCGTCTTTTCGCCTGTCGCAGTCGTTCCTTTGCATCATCTTGGCTGTTGCACTTCAATCATGGTCAGCTTGCCCTCGCAGCTACGTTCGCATTATCGTCTCGCAAAGTCTTGAAAAAGCGTAAACAAATATAAGAGAAAAAAGCAACAGCCGAAATTTATACCATAGCATGAGCCAAGTGATTCCAACATCATCATCATGTCTGGAACACAAATGCAGTTAGAGGATTGTATGTGTTGGTGGGTGCTGCGCGATTGCGAGCAAGGACTAACACAACCGACCTAGGGCTGGACGACCTCTGCGTCCGCTTCATCATCAACCTTCCCCAGGAGGATCTCTCCTCCGTCGCTCGAATATGCTTCCAAGTCGAAGAAGCTCAGTGGTTCTACGAGGATTTCATCCGTCCACTTGACCCGACTCTGCCGTCCATGACCCTGCGAACGTTTTGTCTGCGAATCTTCCAGCATTGTCCCTTATTGGCCAGCTTTTCTGTTGAGAATCATACGAAAGCGTTTGAGGAGTTTCTGGAGTACAAGACTCGTGTTCCTGTACGAGGTGCTATCATGCTGAACGAGGCCATGGATTCGACAGTCCTGGTCAAGGGATGGAAGAAGGGAGCCAACTGGAGTTTCCCACGAGGAAAGATCAACAAAGACGAAGACGATCTGGATTGCGCCGTTCGTGAGGTATATGAAGAGACTGGTTTGGACCTTCGAGCTGCTGGCCTGGTACCTACCGAACATAAACCAAAGTACATTGAGATCTCCATGCGCGAACAGCACATGAGGCTTTACGTCTTCCGAGATGTCCCAATGGACACTGTATTTGAACCGAAGACCAGGAAGGAAATCAGTAAAATCCAGTGGTACAAACTATCGGAACTACCAGCCTTCCGCCGCAAGAATGGCCAAGCGAACGATGCCAGCACTGCACCTAACGCTAACAAGTTTTATATGGTGGCACCGTTCTTGGTGCCGCTGAAGAAATGGGTTACGGCACAGAAGAAGATTGAAGCAAGGAGAGCAGCAAACAGCTCGCAAGGTTATGGACCTATCAGTGAAGCCCAATACGAGGACGAAGCATGGAACGATACTGGCGCCGAAACTACGGACCAAGGCCCAGCGATAGAGACGCTTGCAGGCGCCACACAGGAGTTGCAACGTTTATTGAAGGTGCAGCCTCCCACTCAAGGATTGCAAGGTGTTTCCGCTCCGGCCCCTTCTCAACAGGATAAAGGAAGTGCATTACTTTCTATCCTCCAAGCCAAAGACGGTCCTTCCAACGCCATGCCGCAGACTGGTGCTCACTATCCTCAAACTCCTCTTGACCACACAGTTACCAACGCTCCTCAACCTCATACGCCGCATCACCATAATCATCACCAGATGCCATCTACAAATACTCAGCAGCCACCGCCGCCATTCCCGTATGCGCCTAATCAAGCTGCTCACTGGAATATGGGACCAGAACAGCAGGTCGGGAATCATCAGCTATATAATCAGCAATATTCTATCCAGGAGGGCCAGTATAAGAGCAACCAGGCTCCTTTGGTGCATCCTCAGCCATTGCCTCCCCAAGTAGAAAGGGCCGTCTTCAACAGGAGTGTATTCCAGGACGTTAACCAACCCAACTACAATCCTGTGCCTGGCCAGTTTGTTAATCAGCAGCAAGCGCAATACGGCCACCCTGGCCAGATGCCTCAGCAAGCTCTCAATTCAACTGGGCAGCCAAGACAACAACCTTTGAATGGCCAGTCCATGGCACTCCTGAATGCTTTCAAGGGCGGTAATACCACGCCACAGGTACAGCAGAAGCCTCAACAAGTTCCAATCCCCCCTGGCTTCCCAGCACAGAACCAAGGTCCTGTGTATAGTAACCTTGGTGGACCACAAGCGCAACAAGTTCCTCCGCAAGTCCCTCATACGGCCGGCCCTGTGGGAGGCCAAGATCGCTCAGGGCCAAGTCCCAAGGAGCTACCAGGCTCGAAAGTTGGACCACCTGCCGACAATCACCGTTCTGCTCTGCTAGGCATGTTTCGCAAGGACGACCAGAATCAGCCTCCTGCGCAAGGACCTCAGCCCACCGGACAGCCTGCTCCTGGCAGTATGATGAGTGAACTTCTGCGTTCAGTTGGCGGAGACAATTTCAGGGCCCATATTCCCCAACAAGCCCCCGCTGATCCCAACCCGCTCCCATCAATGGAAGGTCTATCACTACAACAACGACCTACTCAAACCGGTACACCTGGATCTCAAGGAAGAGCGGATTATTCGCAACAATATGGTGCCCAAGCACATGCACCAGCTGCCTCGCAGCCTACTCAGCCTATCCGTATTCTTCAACGAGGTCAGAGTGAACAATTATTTGGCATTGGTGGAGCATCCGCATCTCCTCAAACTTCCTTTGCCTCGCCAAGTGGATTATCTAGCCACTTGCAGCCTGCAGGTGCTGGCATCAGTCCCAGCATCGCACAAGCATTCCCTGCTGTAAATCGTCGTCGCGAGTCTGGTCCCGCTCAGAAGAGAGAGCTGCTTTCACTTTTTGGCAAGCAGCCATCCCCGGCTAGTTTGGAGGCAGCCAAGGGCAAGGAGGTCATTGCTGGAACGCCTAGGTCTCGTCTTGCTTCTTTGGCCTCTGGAGTTGAGGACCCTGCTGGCCCGCCTTCTCGTCGTGGTAGTCAGACGCCCATCTCGCCAGCCGAACGAACGTTTTTGCTGGACTACTTACAGTCTGTTACCAAGAATGCTAACCATTGAGGGATTTCTGGAGAAGTGATTTCATGTGTACTATTTGGTATTTATAGGAACGGGGGAGCATTGCAACGGAGCCTTGTGTGGGATACTATAGTTTTGGCAAACAATGAGCTAGCGTAGGTATCTAATTGCTAAGCGACCGTTATCGCCACTTTGTTTGGCTTGGATTGTTATCTGACTTGAGATGATTGTGGTGATGTTTCATGCTGTGTGGGCGGTTGATCTTTTCGCATGGTGTTATAGGGAAGACTTATGATCAGACTTTGCTAATTTGGCTAATCGATCTTGGTCCGCTACTTGGCATGCTTTTGTGATTCAGGTCCGTATGTGTATATGTGTAAGAAGTATTAAATACTTGTAGAAAGCCTAATGGATGCCTCCATTTGACCACCCTGCTGCTGCATATGTTGAATAAGGTAAGGTCAAGCCTCCAACTACTCCGTCGGGAACATATTATGGCTTCCTCCCCTCATGTCACATAGAGATATTTCAGACATTTGCTAGTGCGTGTTACCTCCTAATTCGCTTTCCTACCAGTTGGTCTTGGCCGTAGGGCACTATGATATAGATTTCGAATTTGACAAATGCATGGTCACTGTAGCCCCTGACTAGTAGATACTCGCGCGGTTCACTTTGATGCCTGCCTGGCTTGCTACCCAGAGCGATTCACTTGTGTCAGATATTAACTTACCATCTTTTGTATTAGAGAGAACCGTTATATTAATCCAAATAGGCGAATAGAAGTCCGGTGCTAATTCAGAATACACCTGGTTTCAGGGCCAAATATAATTAACGACTATTAGGGGTCTGTTTTGACACAAAAGAGAAAACTAATTGATTCAATTAGGTGTGCGGTATTATATCTCTTATATATCAAAGATAGTGATAGATTCCTTGTCGTGTGATTTCGGGGTTTCCATGCTAGTGCTGCCGTAACAACTTTGCACGGGAGCCTGTTTTGATAACTGAGGTACTCTTTGCACAATACTGTTTTGTTCTCTCGGAGGGTCTTCATGGACTTCTCGAGGTGCCTATGCGCAGAATAAATATGATGAAACAGATATGGCCGTCAGATATGAAGCAGAAAACCAGTCACGCATAAGCTGTGTTGGACAACATTAGTAGGTACCAAGAATTCCAATGAACCAAAGAGTCGGCATCCATAGTCCCTAGTACGTGTTTTTCTTCGAATAAACAATCAATTCTTCTGTGTTTTGTATTGTTTCACTGAATCTTCCCTTGATCAGGTGCCAGTTTCGTGATTTAGGGGTATTCAGCTATTGGTGAATGATGCCATTAGATTCCAGGTTGAGAGTGTATTATAAGGCAGCATTCAGATCTCGGAATGAATTGTGGAACTAATCCAGTAGCTCGTATTTCAAATTGTTGCCATTGGCTTGTTGACAGCAGAATCAAGTGGTCTCCTCATGGTGAGTGTCCTTCCTTCCCTTTCAGTAGGCGCCCTCACCACTCGAGGTCACAGCACCGACCCCTCCTTCCTTGAACCCAAGAAAGCTTTATCAGTCAAAAGAACACAACCTAATATCAACAAAGGCGGAATTCTGAGGTATGGTCAAGTGGTTAAAGGCCAGGTCCCGAAGGCAATAACACAAATAGCCCACACACGTCCCCAAACCGGGTGAAGTGGACCTAGACCTCAGTTGAACGTCAACGCGCGCATTTTTTTGTCTTTTTTATTTTATTTTATGAGTCAATTGTATTAAGTGGTGTAGCGTTGTTGTCTTGTTGTGACTTGGTGTTGCTGTTGAAGAATAGTCCGATATCAGAGTGGTCAAGTAAACTTTCAGGAGTTATCTCTTCACTGATATTGGCATTCTTTATGCTTAATTTGGCATTTCAATCGAGCATTTGATAGCTTTGGAGGCGGGATTCGAACCTCTCCACGGCTGGTGTTAGGCATGTGAGTTTCTGGCAGTGCGAGCCGGCCGCCAACTACAGCATCGTCACTCATCCGCCCAGATACAACCAGGTCCCATGAAATCTACAGACCTTTACCAATCATGAATTGCCTTCCTGCTTTAAACAACGACGGAATTTGATGGTCTGGTCAAGTGGTTAAAGCAGTGCCTAGTGGCATGAGCGAAAGAACTGGTCGTCCGGACAGAACTGAGGCTCGTTCGACCTACCAAAGATGAACGTCACCCGCGTGCATTTTTTTGTCTTTTCTTTAAATCTTTATTCTTTTTATATATTCTTAGAATTTTATTATTCGATTTTACATCTATAGTGTTGTGGTTTGGCCATCTTGTACCCAGTGACTTGAAAACAAACCTTGAGAGGATCACTCAGGGAGAACTACCTCGGTAACAAAGTATTTACGCTGCTGGCATGGTTGTATAGGTTTAAGGGCCCCTGAAAGCTAGTTAGATTCAGGATTCGAAACCAGCGCATACGGTGCGCGCTGTATGGCAGGACGGTATTTGACAACACCGAGACAGATCCCACCCAGGGCCTTGCGCAACAGATCAATTCTCATGTTCGATCCACATTTGAGACATCAAAATCCTCTATATCATACATGTTGAATATGTCTACCTCGTTTATGGGTAATTTGTGAGTTGCACTGTCGATATGAGCTTTCGTGCCAGATGAAATGCCCATCAGGAGCCGATGATCTTATAGTAAGAAACAGCTTGTCTAAAACAAGTGCAAGGCATGTATTAATTTGTTATCGTACGATTTGAAGGACTTTATCTTCTGCATCCCTCATCGGAGTTGTGGTGATATGAAGGAGAAAAGGGGTCCATTCTGGCATTCGATTTGTAGCAAAGTCGAAGAGCTTATTTTACAACCAGGCTATTGGAAGTTGCAACGAGGCATATTATAATAAGCTTGTCTTGTATCAGATTTATGCAGTCTATCAGCCATGCAGGTATTGTGATGTTCCCTCCCTGTCTAAAACTCTCGATACCAATCTACCTGAGAGGTTAAGGAGATTGGTTTCGGAGAGCAACCGCAGAGCCAATACGTAACCTATAATCCGATATCTACAGTCGAACAAACCCCACTGTCTGTCCCATGATTAGACCTCTCTCACAGAGGGTTGAACCAAAACTCGCACAAATGAACAGATCAATAGCATCACAGCAAGTTGATCTCCTGATCATACTAGATCGAAGAATCGAAGATGCTGTGCCTAGCTCAAAAAGAATCGTCAGATGAATCATCCCCATTACTTCCATCGCTATCAGAAAGATCCAATAGCTGGAAACGGTTGCCCATGAGGTTCTTGCGTGATGGATGGGTGGGAATGGCTCTTCTCTGCGACTTCACATTAGGGACCGGATCGTGAATCGCAGATGACATGCTCTGAAGCGGCTGTGCACATTCATCGGCACACCACTCAATACGAGAGGTCCTGTATTCTCTGAAGAGGTTGCAAAATTAGCACTGCCTGGGCAAATGGTATTCAACATCGAAAAGAGTCCAACTTACAATCGGCTCTGAAGACAAGTTCGAGCATAGATGGCCCCATGAATCGCATTGGTGCTGATAAAACAGTCGTCCTTCTCAAACGCGATGCTAATCACATGAAGATTGTGAATGTGTTCAAGGTCGTCACGGATACCCTGAATAGTGAGGTTGGGGTCCCGCTTGCGGATGACGAAGTTACGAGAGCCACCCTTGCGAACATGATGGGCAACCTGGCCACTCATGGTGAACTGGTGGTCAGACCATCTGGTATGTATCTGCGATAGCTTATAAGAATGACATCGGCTCGTTTTGCTAATTTACTTACCTTCCGATCTTTGACATACAAACCAGTTGTGCGACAGTTCTCGATAAAAGCACAGGCATCAGCCTCGTGCACAAAAGAGACCGTGGCAGAGTTATCTTTACTCCGAAGAAAGATCTCCAGAACGGGACCTCCTCGAATAACCGCAGCAACATCCCCATGTGTGACGCCATTAGGCACATTGAGGAGTAGGACTGACCTCTGGGCTGAGCGCTCAAACCACTCATTGATCTCTGGTCTTTTGTTGTCGTGAAAATTTCCACGCCGTTTTTGGTTGGTCGAGCCACCTGGATAGGTTGAGGATCGATAAGAAGCACTGGGGTGCCAACTCCTATTCAGACGAAGCCCTTGCTCTGCAGCAGGGTAGCCCAAACCGGCATTCGATTGAATTTGGAAAGAAGATGCTGGTGCTTTGTATGAAAATGTTGCCGATGGCGATGGTTCAAACTGTTCAGGGGTACAGGCAGGCGCATCATCAGCTGGGTTTCGTAGGCAGAGAGACTACAGAGAGTTTAGAAGTTGGTAGGCTGATGGGAGATGGTAACGTACATTCACAGTAGCCTCATTCAGCCCTTGTGCGATGAGATTCTGACGCAGGAAGACTGATCACAAGTAAGTGTCAGAGATTTCCTGTACAAATATCTCCATGTTCAGAGGCTGTACTGTCATAACATACCATACTGGTGGGCAATCGTAAGGAGACCCTCATATTCCTCTTGAGGCACGTACACACATTGAGGTTCGGTTATTGGCAGCTCGGGGCCCTTAGACTAGTGTTAGTCCGATGAATCTTTTGCAAGACTTGCATTTTATGAATTTCTTGGTAGTTCTCTGTTGAGTATGGAGGGCCTTCCAACGGGTAGGAAAGGGGATCGTACATCCTGTTTCCTGCAAATAGGTGAGTATAAGTGTTATCTTGATACCCAATTGGACTGTGGTAATTCTTGCTTACTGCGTCTTGTTCATGTTCATGCTGATAATTCGTTGGCTCAAGAGCTGATCTTGATTCTGATACGGATGAAGAAGAGAAAATATCTGAGTGTGGTTGGTGAAACCAATTTATAAGGATTTGACGGAAAGAGCTCCCAGTTATCACTTTCTCCTCAGGCCTCGACCATGGAAGACAGGCAATCACCATTAGATCTCATAAGGCAGGGCGAACCAACGGGCTTGATTCACGTGCGGCTGCCACCAGCTGCGAGCCTCCCGCTGGCCGTTTACTGGCTTGAAAAAGGCAAACATTGGCGATATTGGAGGACTTTGATTCGTCTATTCACCTGCAGGTTAATTAATATCATATATGATTGAATATCGTTTAGACTTTTCATTACTTTCGAGTCAAGACTCTAACGGCATACACAGAAACATACATGTTGTAAGGACGTTGCAGCACGGAAGATGAGATAACAAGACTCAAAAGAGCGACAAGATGGTACTATCACTCCTCTTTGTATCCCAAAATCAACCCTGGAGGGAATGTATGACTTGTATTGAGGTAGAACGCCTCGAGTAAGTCAACAAGGAGCAAAAGAGAGTATCGAAGCAACAGCATCGGGGCAGTATGTAGCCGCACGGTTATCAATCGAACAATAGATACCTGAGTCTGCAGTCAGCCGTTATATTTGACAAACGTCGCTGGCAAACACTCTATGTTGATGTTGTGGAAGACGGGCCCACGTGACACGGAAGAGGGATGTTGAATTGATCGGGAGTTAACGCCTGCTAACAAATTAACGGGCATGGGGCACTTTAATTTGAGACGCCATCGTCAAGTTAGACAATTTAGTCTTACGGTTAAGGCTGAAGGAGGCTTAGTCAGTGGAAGACAATCGACAGAAAGAATCTTCAGCACAACACCAAAATATGAGATCAGCAAACAATACGAGTACAACAGTTCACGACTTCAACGACATGTTACATCCATCTGGACTCGTTGACACAACCCTCAAGGACAAGAATCTGCTGATGGAGCCATGCACCATCTTTAGTGCATGATTGCCGAGAATAGCGGGAGCTTAGGGGACTCCGGACAGGGACGGTGGGGAATTAGCAAGGATGGCGTGGTTATTTTTAGGTGAAGCAGAGTGACAAACACGAGATCATGTGATGCATTCTCCCTCTTTCGATCGTTGACTTTTCCTATTGTGAGCCGACGCGTTGTGCCAGCTTGCCCTGTTGTTTATGTCGAAGTATCTAGAAATATTGCACCCAAGCTTATATGATACAATGACCGAGTTGCTGGGATAAAAAGAGAAACAGAAGGATCCAGATCGTCCGTCAGTCAACACGAGATGACTTCCTTGTCTGACCACGGGTAATAGAATAGACCCAATACATTCGGGCCTCGGGGAAGGCTGTGTAAACACTTCGTACGCCACCGTTAGAGAAGCTGAGAGATACAAGCATCCACTAACAAAATTCAACGGTTGCAGCTCAGACCTCCACCCAAAAAAAGGAGTCGTTGTTTTGACTTTAAAGTCAATCTGGTGTAGCCACGGTACGTACTCTTTCCAGCGAAGCATGTGCCAAAGACCCAACCCCTTGCTCCTCCTGCTGGGCCAACCCAACATAACGCCAACGCTTTCCCCTGTTCCGTTCCCTCTTTTTTGCTCTGTTGATTTCTTGTCCACCTCTCGCTTTTACTCTCGTTATTTTTGAGATCGATCAATTCCAGCGTTTTTGAGACTAGCAGCAGATCGTCGTAGCCATCGTTTCATCGACCTTTGTTGTTTCTCGCCTTTTGCTACTTCTCTACCTTCACTATACGCTTCACCCTTCGTTCACTCGTCGATTTGGACACGCTTGGCAATCTCCAGCATCGGTATCTAGTATTGATAACGTTCAAACGATCTATCCCTTGAAATATAATCAATAAATATCGACATCATCATCGAGACCCGAGGCTTCCTCATCGATTAATCGCTAACCACAACCGCTGTGGTCCTCCTGACTCTATTTCGACCCCCTTTCGTTCTCAAACCCACCAACGATCTCATCATGCGTCCCACGTCGAACCTCCTTCAACTGGCTGTCTGCCTCTCTTCTCTCGCCCCTCTAGCGGCAGCATGGCCCGATTGGTTTCCTCATGCCGACTCTGTCGTTGTCCGACGCGTTGCGCATGAAGCCAGTACGCTTATTCCTCTCACTCATAAACCCCCTTTTTACTGACTCTCCGTAGTGCCCCAGGAGACTGGCGTTATCAAGGCTCGTCAAGATAAGACCGATGGGGGAGAGGCTTCAAGTACCCGAAAGAACACCGCCAAGCAGACCAACTTGAACACCGCCAAAGTCGAGACAGGAACTGAGACCGCAACTGCAGAGAACACCAAGACCGGAACTGAGACAGGCAAGAAGAAGTCTGGCACCAAGACTGGAACATCTGCGCCCAAGCGCACAACCTTCTCTGCTGATGTTCAACCCGGTGGTGTGAGCATGACACTTCCCGATACCATGTATGTTCCTACACCTCTATTCAAGATTGGTGACTACGCCACCTTTGGCTGGAACTACACTTCGCTTGAGGGCACACCAACCGCCATCGACGTCCTCGTCAGCCAGTCTTCCGCCGGCGAGACATACACTCTCACTGCCAACATGACTTTTGCGACCAACCCCACCTACGTCTGGGACACCAGCAAGCAGGCCAACGACCCCGATGCTCCTCTCGTGGTCGGCATGTACACTCTTATCATCAAGGATTCTGACTCGGCCATCACCGACCTCCCCTCTCCTGGCTATCTGCAAGTTGAGAAGACCTTCCAGTTTGGCATGTATACACCCGCAGCCTACACACCCTATCCCCAGTGGAACTGTGATATCTGCAACAACTAGTCAAAACACCCAGTGCCATTTCTGTTTTTTGCAACTGATCTTAGGAGTTATTTTCGGGGGTGTTATGGGCAGGCGAGCATCAGAAGGAGAAAAATTGTTTATTGATTGTACTTTCACTTTTCATTTGGATGTTTCACAGTTTGGTGAGGGCGTTGGCAGACGGATGTCGCTGTGGTGAAGTCACCTCGCAAGAACGGGGAGATCCCCGGTTTGGATGCTTATGATTAATCAGGCGGTCGAAATGAGTCGATATCATTTAATGATCTTATCTACTATATACATATTAATCTCGTCGGTCCTTGGCTACCGATTGCAGCGAGTTTGTCTTCAGATAATCATAACCCCTGTCTTGAATCTTTGATCTCTAGTCTTCCATCAAGGTTCTTGTATGCGTTCAAATCTATAATAAGGCTAACCCGCATAGATAGTCAATTATGTGCTTCAAGTCTATTTCCACATGTGGTGGTAAACGTCGATGGCTTCTTTCGCCTCTCAGGAACAACGTTGGAGCTTCAGTGCACATAAACTTAAACCATACGCAACTGAAATCCTGCTCCCCTCTCTTCCTTATCCCGCCCCTGAAAAATACCACTGAAATCAGCATCGCCCAGCGACGCAGCCTGTCCACCGCGCACGGGCGCATGAGGCTCTGCACGTCTTCGCCGCTCTTGATTCGCCTTGCTAGGGAACGTCGGGAACATGCTCTCGGGTTTAGGCTTTGGGTCCTGTCGGAAGTACTCATGCTGAAGCATCTCTTTCGCCGACGGTCTTCTTTCGGGGTCAAGTGATAGTAGATCACCCAGCAAACTGGCGCCTGCGGTAGTGAGACTAGGAAAGCGAGCGCGAATGACAGATCCGGTAGCAACTTGTGTCTTAGGGAGTCGCAATGAGCGTGCATTGGGGAGACGACGGAAACCAGGCCAGGTCTCTTCTGTGGGAACACCACAGAGCTCAAAGGTGCGCGAGACTTGATCAACTTCATTCTTACCCTGAAGAAGAGGTTCCCGGGTTATCAGCTCGCCGAAGATGCAGCCCACACTCCACATGTCTACCGCCGCATCGTATGTCTTTGCGCCAAGTAGTAGCTCCGGAGCTCGGTACCAAAGAGTGACGACGAGTTGTGTGAGTTTGGGTGGGGGATCGCCGACATAGCGGGCCATGCCAAAGTCGGCAATTTTCAACTGACCACGATTGTTAAGGAGGAGATTGGAGGTCTTGAGGTCGCGATGGAGAATCCAGTTGTCGTGGAGGTACGCAATGCCTGATGTAAGCTGTAATAGGAGACGCTTTACTTCGGAAGAGAGAAATGGTTCGGGCATATCTTCGAGGATGGATTTCAGATCGTGTTCGACGAATTCGAGGACGAGGAACAAGGAGCTGGGGTGGCTGTTAGTTGTAGTCTTCAACACCAAGTGTCGCGTGCTTACTTGTCTGGCCGTGATATGTCGTCCCCTACAACAACCTCTTCCATGGTAACAATATTCCGGTGTTGGCAATCCTTCAAAATTTGTATTTCGCGTAGGCCTGTAACGGGGAGACCGTTTCGATCTTGAGGTTCCAGCTTCAACCTCTTGAGCGCGACAACCTTTCCTGTAGCTTTGTTTGTCGCCCGCGCAACCCAGCCATAAGTTCCCTCCTCGATATCGTTTAACTTCTCATAGTTCTCAACACTTTTGCACTTCCCCCAGGTGCCAGCTGGAAACCGCAAGAGCTTCGCTGGAGGTGCCTTGTCTTGTTGGTTTGCGCCTGGTTCGGGGGTGATCCTACGTCGCTTCGAGGGCCGGTCATCGTCGACTTCGAGCGCCGTTTGCTGTGCAGCTTCTTGTGCTTTCTTCTCTTCTTCGAGTTTTCGGGCCTTGTCTGCCTTCTTGCGTCGCTTTTCTTCCTTGAGTTTGGCGTCGATACGAGCGTCTTCTTCGGTGTCGGCCCACCGAGATTTGCTGGACATAGCGGCGGGCGTGAGAGACTGCGGATAGCTTCTGTAATTGGTAAAGGAGAATTGAAACGCAAAACTTTATAAGTCACGAAATCGACACTGTCTAATAGCCCCTGGTGTATGTAGGAAACGCATTGGTGTTGCGGGGAGGAACGTCCAAGTTATGGCCGTGGACGAGTTGCTTATCTTATCAGTAAGTACTGTAGCTTCAACTCCAGAAAAGCATCGCCACTGATGCTTTCACGTGCGGTCTTGTACTACAACAGCTTACAAGTGAGAACATCGCCAGTTGATTTAATCTGTAGCCAACTGTTCTCGCTCACAGGAGACAGGCTCAAGATGTTTAGGTCACTAGGCTTAAAGCCTCTTGCGAGGCTTAGCAGTGGCCGATGTGTACCACAACCAAACTTGTTCAACCCTTGTGTTGGCCGGAGCTTCTCATCTACTGTTCGTCAATATCAAAATGTTACAGATATTGATGAGATATTTAAGAATGAGAATCAGAAGGAGACTGAGAGGAAATGGTCGACACCTCTAGCCAAGCAACTCTTTGCTGCCATATCAGTAAGTGAAACGACTATAAGTTATTCTTCATACTGACGATTCTTTAGACAACTGGACCTGTTCCGTTGGCCAGTTACATGCGCATGTGCTTGACTGGAGATATCGGAGGTTACTACACTGGAGCCATTGGTGAAGGTCGAGATCAGTTTGGCACAAAAGGAGATTTCGTTACATCACCAGAGATTTCTCAAATCTTTGGTGAACTCATCGGTATCTGGTTCATCGCTGAATGGATCAGCCAGGGTCGACCTAAAGAGGGCGTCCAACTCATCGAGGTTGGGCCTGGTCGTGGTACTCTTATGGATGATATGCTTCGAGTATGTGACATTCGTTGAACTTGAGAGACTTCCTAACTTGGATTATAGACCATCCAACGATTTCCTGCGATGGCTAACAGCATCGACGCTGTGTATATGGTTGAAGCCAGTCGTGAGCTTCGAAACGCCCAGAAGCAACTTCTCTGTGGCCCAGATGCGCCATCATCAGAGTCAAAGTCTGGCTTCCATAGTCCCAGCAAGTACAATGGCAAGCAGATTGTCTGGACTGACACTATCAAGTCTATTCCAATTGGTAGGCAGCATCTCACATAATGTCACGAGTCTAACTAACAGCATTATACAGAAGCTGACAAGATGCCCTTCATAATCGCTCACGAGTTCTTTGACGCTCTCCCTATTCACAGCTTCCAATCCGCCTCTGCTCCTCCTCCCCAACCAAAGGCATCTTCACCTACTTCACCTACTCAACCACCACCCGAGAACACCAAAGCCGCTATGGAATGGCGAGAAATGATGGTCTCGCCAACACCGCCGGGCGTCACTCACGCTCAACTTGGAACACCGAAATCACAGCAAGATGAACCGCCTCCTGAGTTCCAGCTTACACTTTCATCTACTCCTACTCGTCACTCTCGCTTCCTCCCTGAGACCTCAACAAGGTATCGCAAGCTTAAGAACATGCCCAGTTCCGTCATCGAAGTTTGTCCAGATGCGTCCATCTTCGCTACAGACTTTGCAACTCGTATTGGCGGTTCTGAACAGTATCCCAAGGCTAAGCCCAGCGGTGCTGCCCTTATTCTTGATTACGGAACGTCAGACACCGTCCCTATCAACTCCCTTCGCGGTATCCGGCATCATAAGCGAGTAAACCCCTTTTCTGCGCCTGGTCTGGTCGATCTGAGCGCAGATGTCGATTTCACTGCCATCGCTGAAGTGGCCATGTCAGCGAGTGAAGGCGTGGAAGTCCATGGACCCGTCAATCAGGGTGACTTCCTTGAGGTGATGGGTATACGAGAGCGTGCTGAGCAATTGACCAAGGCGCCTGGTGTCGACAAGGAGACTGCTGATAAGATCGACGGAGCCTGGAAGCGCCTTGTTGATAAAGGCCCTGACGGTATGGGAAAACTGTATAAGGCGTTGGCTATCCTGCCTGAGAATGATGGCCGAAGACTGCCAGTTGGGTTTGGAGGTGATGTCTTGGGTTAATAACAGAGAGTGCCTGGGCGTCGTACTGCATCACGATGCTTTAGGAGAGGAAAGCCTGAAACGATATTGTAACAGTATGTAAATTGATCAAACCATTGCATCCTTATACGACAACTCTGATCTATCCAAAAGCCCATATACTACACGCATCACTACCCACGCAAGGAAACGTTGCATAATCGAAAACTCAGTTCATTCATCAGTAAGATTTGATCCCTTCGACAACCCTACAATTACACAAAAAGGATGCGCCCAACTTTGAGCGCATGCAGATTCAGCGTGAGTCGATTGTCATCCTCCTCTTACTTCGTTTTCACAAGCTTTGCGTCCTCTTCGTCACTTCCATCGTCTGAGAATTTGTCGCCATCCTCGCCTATAGCAAAGATGGTCTCATTCTCTAGTGACTCACGAGGAGCGGCACGAGTATTGTTCCTCGGTGGTTGAGCGGTGCTCTGCGACGCACTTGAAAAGGAGAGGCCATTGGCGTTGTTTGAATCGTTACGAGTCTTGCCCACTTCGACATCCTCGTCATCCGAGTCTTCTCCTGGAACACCAATATCGCCAAGGTCAAAGTTGCCATCGTCATCTTGAGCAATCTCGTCACTCATGGCGAAGCGGCGGTTGTTGGAAGTAGGACGCCAGAGGTAGGCGATCCATGCGACGTCAGCAAAGTAAACAACGTTCAGCCAGCCATCGAGGATGAACCATCGTGTCTTCCAGTGGAAAGGAACAAAGTCAGGGTCGCTAGCTGAGGCAAAGGTGAAGCTGTTGAAGAAGAAAAAGCCGAAGATGACCATGACGCTGATGAGAATAGCCCACCAGAGCTTTCGGTACATAGCTTCCTTTGCGTGCTGCTTTCGCTCGCGGAGATCCTTGAGGGTCCAATTAAGTGAGTTGAGTGTCCAGACATAGAAGGCAGTCAATGTGCCCGCCAGGGGTAGGACTATCAGAAGCACGAATGGGCCTGTTTTCGGTCAGATATGGTCAATTGAACAATTCATTAAAGAGATCTTACCAGCTGTCTCGGGGGTGATGGAGAGGAAAGTCAGCGAGTAGACCAATCCGAACAGGAAGTGAGCCGCAGCAAGCCATCGCACCCTGATCATGGTCCTACCGAGGGTGTGCTTCACAACACCATAGCCCATACAGACGATAAGCAGCAAGAAGAATGAGAACGAGTTTCGGCCAGCGTTGAGAATTCCAACAATGGTAAGGAAAACCTTTGAGCCAACATTCGAGCCATGACGGTTCTGGTATTCTAGATTCGAGTTAGGACGGGTAAACTAAACAAAGGGAGAGGACGAACCATAGAAACCCCATGTTATGAGCATTTCCACCACCAGGAAAATGAGGATGGCCGTAATGTAGTTTTGCACAGCCACTGAGTAAAGTCAGCATGCAATTGGTTGAAGCGTATACGAGGTTTGTGCTTACAGATATCATGTCTGTGCTGATAGTACAAGAAACCCCAGTAGGCAGCAAGGAGAGCATACAAGATACTCATGCCGCCATAGAAAGGCAACTTGGGAATTTGGGTAGCCTCGAGCTCGCCATAAGCGTTGCGATATTCGACTACTAGGTCGTACTTCTTTGTGTTGACCACATCTGTAAGAACGCAATAGTAACCAGTCTTCTTGATAGCATAGTTGATTGGAGCAGCATTGTTGAGGTGGACGGCCTTTGTGAGGACCACGCTCGAAGACTTCTTGTCGACATCGGGATGCAAGATGAATTTGCCAATATCAGTCTTGTTACAGTAACCCTGCTTGACGAAATCATCACCACAGACGCCAAGTCGCTATCATGTGTCAGAAGAGGGCGGAGTATGCATAGGGACTTGCGAGCACTCACGTTGCCGGGAGTATTCGGATCAGGGATTCCAACGAGATTTCGGTCCTTCCACTCGAATATCACCAGACTCGCAATCGGATCTTTGACATCGGAGTTGCTGGTGTTGAGGAACTTGACGAGGATGAATGGATCGACGGGTCCGCCCCATGAGGTCTTGCTGTACATGCCTGGAACATGTTAGATCGAAGAGTCGCATTGTATGCAAAAGGCATGGCCTACCGGTACAGTATTCTTGATAGCCTTCCTTCTCGCTCTAGATGGCAGAGGCGTTAGCATAATTGCGATCCGAACGCTTGGTATCGCAGATGGAGGCCGCCCATACCAGTCCAATCTCATAAGCTTGGGTTGTCCAAAGGGACATGCCCAGCAAGAGCAGTCCCGTTAGGAACCTCATGATTATTGTGTCGGTGGTCGCGGCGGAAGCTTCGGCGTGTTGCGTCGGTAAGGCAAGTAGAGGCGATGTTGGAATAAAGAAGACCAAAATTCAAGACGAGACGTGCGAGACCAAAGGGAACTTGAGCAACGTTTAAGTGGTGGCGCGGGAGCTTCTCAATTTATGGAGCATGTCGAGCCTGCCGAGAGTCCTTTCTGGCGCCGTCCTTATCGATTCGACGATGATCGATACTTGTAGAGTTGTTAGACGATACGGTAATTGATAAGTCAAATCCAATAAAATCGAGGTTAGAAAGAAGATGCCTCGAGTTAAGGGACGAGTTACAGATTCAAGGGAGTAACCAACGTGTATACGTAATTGGTCGCCCGTGATGCCAGGTCAGCACCAGCGGCAGGAGAAGCCAAGGGCCTCTGCTTTCCCATTGGCTTAACGGTCCGCGATAGCGATAAGCCCCAGGTCGTCTCAGGCACCATGTTAGCTGCTAAGGTACCTACAGCCTAGCGTGGCGGCGCATCATAAGTTTAACGTTATTAGTCCGTGAATGCGACTGTGAAATTCCATCATCATAGCTTCTTTTTTCCTCAAGTTTATGTTGTACCAGCGCAACAATGGGTAAAGGAACAGACAAGCTCTATGTAGGTCAACGCCCTTAACAAAACTGATATTCTATCTAACTCAATGACTTCAGATTACACACTCAGAGTGGTCCTCAGCCGACGCCTTCTCCCCCAGTGTTGGCGCAGGCGCGTCTTCTCGCAATCAAAGCGCCAGCGCATCATTTCGCCGTCTTCCCTTTAACTTTTGCGCCGCCAGTCTCCAACCCTTCAAGAACCCTGTATGCACCCCTGATGGAACGATTTTCGACGTTGAGGTCATCGGCGCCTGGCTCGATAAGCACCCCAACCAGAACCCCGTCACTGGCGAGCCTCTACAAAAGAAAGATTTGATTCGTCTTAACTTTGCTCGAAATTCAGAATCGGACTCTCTCGGCGCGGGCTTAAGCGACGGGAAAGGCGACTTGATCGATCCGGTTACGTACAAGGTCTTCACCGACAACACACATATTGTTGCCATTCGTCATGGCACCTACGCCAATGTCTTCGCTTGGGATACGGTCGAACGTATGAATATCAAGGCCAAATCCTGGCGCGACTTGGTCGATGACGAAGAGTTTACTCGCGCCGACATAATTACACTCCAAGATCCCCAGAATGCGGCCAGTCGCAACCTGGACCAGTTCAAGTACCTGAAGGATGGGGAACAGGCGCAATTGACCAAGGAACAGGAGGAGGAGCGCAATGCCGGCAACATCAACTCCAGTGCATTAGGAAGCATGGGCGACAAAGTTTCACGTGCGAAAGCCGCCGTGGAGAAGGCGCGCAAGGCTCGTGAGCAGGGCGGTGATGTCAATCGTAGCTCAACTGCCCTCACCAAGCCTGCAGCTGCCAACAATGTTGTCCGCCACTCTATGATCAAGGACAAGAAGCTGGCTGCTAACTCGGCAGCGTACACCACGGGCAAAGCCGCAGCTAGTTTCACTAGCACAGGACTGACACCTGAGACAAGCGGCGAGAGAGCTCTGTTGACGGATGAGGAGTATATGCTCAAGCCCAAGCGAGTCAAGACAACCGGGTATGCCAGAATAGAAACAAATCTGGGCGATCTAACAATCGAGCTGTATCCTGAGTTTGCGCCCAAGACTGTGTGGAATTTTATCAGGTTAGCACAGACTGGCTACTACAAGGGTGTAGCCTTTCATCGAAACATCCCAAACTTTATGATTCAGGGCGGTGATCCATCAGGCACGGGCCGAGGCGGGCACAGTATATGGGGGAAATATTTCGACGATGAGTTCGATGGTCCAATGTCACACAATGCCCGAGGAACGAGTAAGTAGCCCTTTCTCAGCATGTTGTGATTCTCACTAACTTCTGTCACTAGTCTCTATGGCCAACAAGGGCAAGAATACAAACTCAAGCCAGTTCTTTATTGCGTATAAGCCTACGCCACACCTCGACCGCAAGCACACAGTCTTTGGAAAAGTTGTCGAGAATCTCAATGTTCTTTCCAAGATGGAGGATGTACCTACAGATGGTTCTAACCGACCCCTCAACAAGATTGTGATCAGAGACATCGTTATCTTTCACGATCCTTTCGCCGAGTTTCAGAAACAGAAACAGGAAAACGAGCGTCAGAGCAAGGAACAGGAGAAGATTCGGTTACAAGGTGGCACAGACGACGACAAGACAACGTGGACCGGCAAACGGATACGCAATGACGGCACTGTCGAGAGCACAGGAGCCGGGGAGAGCGTTGGCAAATACCTAAAGGCCGCAACTCAGCAGAGTACACCGACGACCAACGAGGCTGATATTGAGGATGTTGATACGTGGGAGGAACCGGCACGCAAGAAGATGAAGGGAGGTGGTTTTGGCAACTTTGACAATTGGTAAATTAAGCAATGGGAAACATTTTATCCATGCTAGACTGCAATGCGCCGGTAATCCATCCAAAGGTGCTGGGTATGTGCACTCTACATCTCGTCTCATCTAACAGAAAATTATGCTAAGAATTGAGAAAAGCTCGTTGGTATTACAACCATGACATACGACGTGTCGCCATGTCTCAATTTGATGCCCGATCGAATTGTGAAAAGTAATGGGAAGCGTATCTAACTATCGCATACTCAAGTCAGGCTCGGCGTGCTGATAGATCAGACTGTTGAGGGCAGAGCGTTTGCGTCAACCATGGGAAGCTTGCTGAGAAGCGATGGGCTAGGAGTAGGGGGGCTATCTTTCTCCTGCAATAGTCCCGCAACCACACGCGCTTGTTCCAGACCAGCTTCTCTGTGGATAGCTTGCAACCCCTCGATGGCGTATTGTTTCATTTCTGGGGAACATGCCGATGACATACCGAGCATGTACAATGGCCAGATGATGGTATTGTTTGCGGAGGCAAGGCTCATGAAACGAGTGGCATCGTCGGTGTGAGGCGTCGACTGCGTTGGATCAAATAGTACCGGACTACCACCGCTGCTGGATGTCTCCTCTCCCGGGCCGGCTCGTGAGTCTTGCGCAAACGGCGACGATATAACACGGCATGCTTGTTTCTTGGCAGCAATCGACACCGTGTGCCCTTGGTCCTTTCGGTTGCTCATGTCCCGAATACTGACAACTCCGAGGTGCTGGGGAACACTGGCTGCAATTGATTGTCCCAGCATATCCAACACTTTGAGAGATTTGGCAAGTAACTGGAGATGATTGTCTGACAGTACAGTGTGGTCAGCCGATTCTGAAGCAGCGCAAAGCTGCTCGACGAGTGTTTCTAGCAGCAGGATCCTTATTCCGCGCACCATATTCCAAGTGGTGGATTGAAGAAGCCCGGCATACACGTGGCATATTTGTCCTGATACTCGAGGGTCCGGTTGCGTCAGCTGTACGCGATGGTACTTCCAAGATTCTGGCAGTCCGGAGAGTATCGATGAAAACTCCTCCTCAACAGTTGATATGGCAGTGACCACATCATCAAGATTGACTAGTTTTCTCGTGTTGATATCGTAGCGCACCTGCAGTGCTTTGTATATGGGGTATGCCACATGAAAATCAGGTCCTCCAACTTCTTCAGAAGGGGGGATCTCGTGTCGAAGGTCTATTAGTGTTTGTGGCATAGGTAGGCCACTCTGTATGCAGCTTATAAGGACTGTATGGCAAAGCATGAGAAACATGCGAGCACCAGCTTTGCTTCGAAACTGGGCAGCCCCTCTGATATTTGCCAGGGCGGCAGCTCCATTAACGTGATCTTGCCAGGCACGCATCGTGTGGGAACTGTATCCCGAAACAAACTCGAAAGTGCCGAGGATCAAGACGGCGAGCATGGTTGTGTCTTTTACAACTTCAATTGGGTCGCGAAGTGCACGGTGCGTCAATCCAAGGGCAATAGCATAGCTCTCTTGTGCTCGTGTCATAAGATCTGGTGATCGAAAAACTTGTGAGCATCCTGCAAGTCCAACAGCTGTCATACTGACAGTGACTGGATCAACTTGAGCCTGCGCCGAGTCCGGAGGTTTCCATACATCGTATATGAAAGCATAGTTTTGATAGGAACCTCTGTCGGCCACAACATAGCGAGAGAAGAAGAAAGCGGTGCCCTGATCTTGGAGTTCGGGTGATAAAGCCTCATCCAAGTGATCGCGGCGTTCAGTGTGTTCACTTGGACCACTGAGGTCGTTGGCATCGCCCGGGCTTCCATGAGAAGTTTCCGATGGAGACCGGCTCCAGTCGTTAATTAAAGCGGAAAGGACAGGCGCCCGGCAGCGAGTGTTAGATTTCCGAGCACGTCTGGCCTTGACTTTGTTCGATTTCTCTGTCTTGGTGGCAGGGGCGGGGGCTGCACTGGACCTCGGGTCAATGGCGAACGTCGGAGGTGACTTGATAGTCACAACGGATGGTGGGGGAGATGTTGAGGCCGAGGCGAGCTCCTGGCTGACAGGACTCTTTTGTGATTGATTAGATCGAGCCCGTGTCTTGACCGCTTTCTTGATAACATGGGAGCTTTCATCTCTAAACATGAGATCAACAAGATTGCGATAGCCAGGGCATGGCTGATTCTTCTTCTCGCATTGCGTGCATGCCGGCTCCTTTTGGTCACACTTGATTTTGAGATTCACATGTCAGTAAGAGCACTGGGAAGCAGGCTGAGATGGCGACGGCCGGGACGGGTGTTGCCCGTCGTGGGACGTTGACGGAACTCATGTGGATTGTGGCAATGGGCCAACTCACGCGAATCTTGCGACGACGGCAAGTGGAGCAGCCACCGGAGGGCTTCCCGCAATATACCATGACGACTCGTATAAAAGAGGCAAGACGCACGGCCTCGTGACGAGGTGCCCAGACGTATCAAGTCAATATAAGAGAAGATGAGGTCAAAAGGGATGGCGCTTTGGCAGTCATGACATGATGGGCACCTATTGGTTACAGAGCTATCACGACAAGGTCAAAGACCGTTTGTAGGTCGTCCAAGAAGCTCTTGGGTAAAGGTAGGTTCCAAGGGGTGACGGTAACTGTTGGCGGGGATCGACAGAGGCGGCTAGGAACCCGGGAAGTGCGGAGTGTTTGTGTGATATGATGAACTGTACCCGAAGTAAGTATCACTGATATGGCCTCGTCTGGGGTATCATAAATCGTAATTCGTAAATCATTAAAGTCGGAGTCGATATCAGAAACGAGAGAAGAATAGAGTAATTATCTCGAGGCAGGACCAAAGGAGCGAAATTGAAGAACAAGGATCTATGGCCAAAGATTAATTTAGATGTGAGAGGGAAAAGTATCTGAGGTAGGTCGAGCCATAAGGATCCATGCATGCATCCACAGAAGGAAGCATAAGGGTTGTATGCGGAATGATTGGATCCCTTCCTTCCTTCCTTCCTTTGGATTGGACTGGATTGGACGTGATGCAACTTGTTAGCTGCAGATTGGGTGGGCAGGCGCGGGCCTGGCTGTGCTCCTTCTCTCGTCTCGGTGTGCCTCCAAAGAGATTGTATTACCAATGATATCCCACCAGTTTGAGATGATATTTGCATAGGGTAGTACTAAAGAGGGAAACGTTATGTATGAAATTAATTGATATACAGGTAATAAGCTTATGAACTGGTTCGTGTGTTCACTGAGTAATATTGGGAGCAAGACTCAATGATCACACTGTACCTTTGAATAAAACTTGAGGCCCTCAACGTCACAATACAAGATCAATATGCAACCCTTTCGTTCCTTGATTGCGGCTGTGGCAGATGCTATTATCAGCCACAGCCGCATGTCTTACATACATGATGAAGCTTGCTAAAAAGGTGTGCGGTTGATTCAGTGATTACAGTGGTTCGTTCAACTGAGCCCATCCATATCCTCGGCAGATCAACCTTAGCGAGACCTGACCGCTGTTGATCATCATCTCTATTCGAGTTACACAGTCTGCTTCTTTTACCGTCCTCCAACATGAACAGTCAAGACCTTTGGTCTCCCATCATTCAAGAATCCACTCTGATCAACTCCCCCAGACGCACCAACATCGTCATACGGAAACGCATACCCTTTCCCCTCGAGCGTAACCTCATGACAGATCCTAGAGTAGTGATTTGTGTTTCCCTCTCCCTTGCAGTAATACTCTTCGACCTTCTCCCCCTCGGGCTGTCGGCAGTTGCCCGATAACGTCGTCCGGTTCAGCGCCGCCGCAAGCCGGGCTCCGACGTTGAGCTGCGCCGGCGTCACATCCGGTCCGCCCGCAAACGGTCCCGTGCTGCAAGACACAATGTCCCGCGTAGATGGCTTCTCAAAGTGGAAGCTAAGCCTATCCTTTCCAACGTCTTTGAACACTAATTTGCCATCGTGGACACGGCCCCTAACATCGCCCCATTCTGCCTGCGTGTTGATTTCAATGTCTTCCTTCTCGTAGCGCTTCCACGCCGCGTCAATCTCTGGCGCAAAGTAATTCTCCAGTAAGCCTGGATGCAACTCTGCACCGGCGTTTGGACTTAATGCTCGGAGGTTGGAGCCAGACTTGGACTTGACCACGAGCTTTTCCCAGCCTGCGCCGTCCTTCTCACCCTGACGCTTCAAACCCTCGCAGACCTGATCAAGCCCATCCTTGGGCATGCCTGGAACACACGTGACTTTGCCTGCCTCGTTCTCAAGTTCCAGGCCGATCGGAATGCTTACGAAGTCAACATATGACACGTTAACGTACAGTTGATCGTTGTTGTAGGTGAACTCGCAGAATCCCCAATCAGCGTCAAAGTTGGGATCAGTTGGATTCGTCACAGACGGTTCAACCACAGCTGGTCCTGGGTTGATAAGAAATGTGAGTGGCTTGTCTTTGCAGAACCAGATTCGCCCTCCAAAGATATGCGGTATCCGCACTTTCTTTTGAGCTCCTGATCCTCCGATGGGGATGGCGATATCTGCTCCGACGGGCTGTAAGATCTCAGACGGCGATTTCGGCCGATGAACCGTCTCTCCATCTGCGAGAAGAATCAAAACGCCCTGATCATCTCGACCTGTGACGTGCGCAAAGAGCGACTTGGAGTCTGTATGATTGGTGAGGATAATGTCTAGGAAAGGTTCTGTAGGCATGTTTGCAAAGTTATGTTCACTACCAGGATAATATGATAGATAATGTAGTGAAAGGTGTCGGGGATATGATAACAGGTTGGCCAAGTTTGATTGAAGGAAAGATCTATTACTTATAAAATGCATCTATAACCCCTCACCTTACAAAGCTGCCTCTGCCTTGATTTGGGCCCAGTTTTGTTGGTTTCTTAGCCAAGGTTGAGACAATACATCAGGTAACTAGGTAACGTAAGGTAGAGGAGATTTGAAGCTCTGATTCGACTACGTCAGCACTCACTGATTCCAGGTTTCCGAACAACCTACAACATGATAGTGCAAACGGAAGGGTTTCTCAACTGAATAGAATAGTACATACTTTGATTGCTCGAATTCTCCTGTCTTCGCCATAGCCATAGCGAAACATTGGTCCCAATCACAGCTCCAAGCCCTCAAGTCGTAGCCAGACAATCCAGCACCCATTCACACCACTCAGAAAGCATGACCCAACTGCAGAAAGGGCATTATTAGGCCAACAACCAAAACCCAGACAATGCTTCCTTGCGCGACTCTCCTTATGCTAACAGCTGCATTATCGACCTCACCATCATGTGATGCCAGGTCGCCATTCGGGATCGCACACACTGAGGTTTCCTCTGACGATTCGCGACATTGTTGCACCAGTTGCGACTGGCGCTCACTGTTTGATGAGTTGAAGTAAGCTTTGACATAACTGACAGTGACTATGGCATCCTCTTTTGGAGGACCTCCAGACCATAATGGATTGCCGTTACTCCAATGCTGAAGAATCAGATGACCTCCAGAAGAAGGCATGTCGCCTCCTTCCATTCGGGTGAGTAGTTTGCTGTCAGCATAGAACAAGACCTGTCCTGGAAGATAGTCAAAGCGATACTCGTGAAAGGTGTCTGTCGGGTCGAAATCTAGCTTGACTCGTTGGAAACTGCCAGTTTTGCTGGCATCGTAGCCTGCCTCCAAGGATTTCTTGGACTGGACAACTAGGTTGATAAGGTATGTACCACTATCGTAATCAAACTCTCGGGAAAGGAACTCGATATCGATCTCCTGAGTATCGTTGAAATACTGTTCACTGGTCAGTTTATCTCATCGCTCTTGACATCAGAGTACTCGCCCAGAAGAAAGCGGCACAGGTGCCGTTGACGTCCGTCAGTTTCATGCCTGCTCGGAATGATCCCCAGTGAAGGTCAAGTCTCGCTGTGTCGACTTCGCTTGAGGGGATCGCATCGTCTTTATTGAGGACACTTCCTACACGTAGCTCAAGGCCAGAATCATCTCGAGATTTTGTTCCGCGAGTGTTGACATTGGTGGGTAGGAATGCTTTGCTGAAGTTGCCCCGACCATCTACTGCCGATACCGTATACTGTTGAGCTACCCAATCATGCCCTTCAGAGACGTTATGGAGCTGGCTGAACTTGGTCTCAAGCCGATCCGTGAACACTATTGGGCTGTTGCCTCCGGGGTTTTTGATCGAGTAACCGCATTCGCATGCTCCAGAAACCAGACGGGCAGCCACAAGAAAATGTGTAAGAGGGAAGATCATGATGAGACAGAAGTGATTGGGATTTCTAAACAGTAGTGACTCTTCTGGTTGTAACGACGATCTTGTTTCAACACATTGACATTGAGGTGTAAGTCTCAAGTTGAGATTGGAGGTCCTTGTTAGACTATCTTGGGCTGGACATCCTCAAGCAAATCCTCGGAGGTGCCTGCTCTAGAGCTTAGGTAGTTCATGGGAGGACCTTCTCCAAAGTCCCAAGGGCAACTTTGGCAAGGTAGGTAAGGTAGGTAAGGTAGGTATGCATGCATGCATGCATGAGAGAAAGAGCATGTCTTATTAAATATGGCGTTTGTTTGTTGTAGGTAATGATTATGTTTGAGGGCATAAGCTAAGTGTTGATGAAGATGCCTTTGATCAGTCTACCCCTGTACAATTAATTCTCTTCAGCAACCGGAGCCCATCACTTTCGGCATGTCACAGATATCAAGAAAGAACCAGAAATGATGTTTTGACAGGTGCTGATTATTCAAAGCAAACACTATTCTTCTATACACGAGTATGGGCCAGCCTCCTCTTGACGGTATGCGACGCTGCGTCGTGGGCCCAAAAAGGGGTACCCATGACAAGCCAGATCATGCTATTGCCGTCATGTGGCCGCAAAAGAAACAATCTGTATATCGAACAAGGTATCTGAAAACCAAACTAAACAACTCGACAAAAAATAAATGATAAGTAAATAGGAGAAGAATCGAAGCAGAGGCGAAGCAGAGCAATGCCATACCATGCGAAGCAGACCAAGACCGAACAGAGCGTTGAAAACTGCCTGTAAGCCGACAGAAAGAAACACGCAAAATATTATAAGACGAAAACAATAAAGGTGCCATAGCATATAGAACAGGGGAAGTAGAAGGCGACAATAGCCATCTTGGACCTGCCAACTGTCCTGCCATCGCAGTCATTAGCCTGCGCTGTCACTACGCAAATGATCCAGTTCCCTCTGTCCGGGGCACAAGCCCAATGCGAAAACCGTTTCCCGATCCCCTTCCTTGACCCCAATTAATGCCGTTTGACCCTTTGTAACCATGCAACAAGGAGAGAGAGACATAAACAAAGGCAAAAAGGCATCTGACGTGCCAAACAACAACAGACTTGCAATGATAAAACTGCAGTAGACTGAACATTGCGATTACCCGCCCTGTCTCGGGTATCGCCAAGGAGATAATGAGATGACAACCACAAGGAGATTGAGAAAACAAATTCATAGGAGACGAGACGAGTCCAACTCCCTCCCGAGCCCTTCGCGCCGGAGCCGACAAAGTCAGAGAGGAACGAATTAACCCACAACCAAAACCAAACATAATCAAGCAGAGAGGTATATGCCTAGGAGAAAAGGAAAAGCCCGAACCGGCCCGAGGGCGAACAAAGGAAAAAGTCATTTCAGTCATGGCTAATTAGTTTTAGTACACGCTATCCTCATCAGCTCCCTGCGAGATCATCGAGGGAGTCGAGACATTTGAGGATGCTTCAGGGTCATCGACGTAGCCGACAAGGGCCTGAGAATGCAATTTGAAGGCGTCGCCCATAAGTCGTGTCATGCTGCGTGCAGTGTTAGCAATGCAATTCTGAGAGACCTCTGGACCGTTAATACATACCCCCAAACAACAACTTCATCGAGTATCGAGCCCCAGAGTCGTGCGACAACTGCGCTCAGCTGGGACATGTAGTTCTCATCAATTTCCTTCACAAGAAGCTGTCGAACCTTATTGTACATGGCCATCTCTTCCTGGGTCGCAGGCTCCTCGTCATGTTCCAGACGATACAACCACAGCGATAGAATGATCATGAGATCCATTCCGCAGAGCGCATGTTCCACGCTCCAGTTGGTAGGCGATACACGGGCAATCCATCTGACTCCTTGAGAGACAACAGTCTCTAGACAGCTGTAGCATTCCTCGATAACCTTGATCATCTCACTTGAGCGCTTCACGCGATCCCGGGCATGTGTCATCGCAGCAGCAACCTCGTAGGACTCATGGTAGCGAAGTGCTTCCTGGACCGCCTTAAGGTCCACTTCCAGGCGGGCACGAGCATTGCGGTACATGGCTTTTGCGTTGAAGATCAAAGGATGGCCTTCGTGGGGAGCACTGATCGGCACAGGGAAAGCCTCGGCCTCACACATATCCACGGACTTGTCCCATGTTTCCAGTGCCAGCCGCAACTTGTACTCTGTTACCACGTCTTGCAGTGCTTCAGGGCTGCGCTTGTGATACCAGACCTCAAGAAACAAAGCGTTGATCATGACGCGGGTGCCGAATGTGCTGTATCGAAGCGTCTCGCCCTGGAAAAGGTTGTCATGAGCCTCCATGAAGGTGACGGTAGTAGAAGCTGCCAGATGTTCTTGCCATGTCGCCTCGTCTGTTATCTGCAAGTTCCATAGCGTTTCGGTGGAAGGAAGCTGTAAATCCTCAAACTCGCTAAAACTGATGGCAGGTGTATGGTTATATGTAAGCGTCAAAAGACCAAAGAAGATGTAGACAGCGTAGTATGTACGACGGCAGCCTTCGTCTTCAATCCATTCGGCACGAGTGGGCTTTGCACCTGACCGAGCTTCTTGGCGAAGCTTCAGCTCGTACCTGTTACCAGCGACCATGTTGGCGAGCAGACTCTTGATTGAGCAGGTCCACTCCAAGCCCTTAGGGTCACCACTCCAGCTAGCAAAGATCATGTTGAGGAGGTTGCTCTGCATCGTCCACAGGGGACACTTTCGGGAGCTAAAATTCTCCTTACTTTGTAGGAACTGGTTAACCAGAACCTTGGAGCCAATATGAAGCATGTATGCTTGTTCTTGGTCGAAAGCATATAAGGCGCCAATGCTGAGAACTGCTAACAATAGCTGGGGTGAAACCTTGGTAGGATGAAATGAAGCAGGATGCAAGAAAGGCAGATGGTGATGGAATAGACCGAAGTATGTTGAGAGGTATCGATTCAGGGAACCTAGGCCAGGTAGGCGGAAACCCTCAGGGATGGCATGCTCGCTGTCGGCGCTGCGAATGTTGTCCAGGATAGCGTTGCGCTCGTCATCACCCATCACTTCAGGAGCCTTGTATCCAGGCTTGGATGACTCTGAAGACCATGGAGATGGCGGCGCAGCGGCAGAGTTGGGCAATGAGTTGATCATGGACTGCAGAGCCGGTACTAGGCCATTACAGTTCTGTCCGCTGATAGGGGGAAGCTGATTTGAATTAGCTTGCAGGGTGGTTCCGCTGGCGAAAGAAGGTTGAGACTCGAATGACCCGGATGCACTGGAAGTTATCGAGTGGGCTTTGGGCTCGGCAACTGATTGAGACATGAACCCATCCCACTGAACCTGAGGCAATGCGATGGCGCCAGACGGGTAGGTCACAGTAGACTCCATGGCAGAAGCGTTGTGAGGTGAATAAGCCATCGATGGACTGTCCCCGTATGAGTGGTCTTCGCGCATCGCGGCTGTGGCCTTGTGATGCAGATCGGCTACAAGCATGGCAGCAGTCTCAACGTCAAAGATGCCATCGGCACCAGATTCCATTTGCTCCAGGGTTGAAGTATCGATAGCGATAGATGATTTTGAGGGGGCACCGACAGCGCGAGTCTTGGGACCGGCCCGGCGTTTGCCATCGCTGTGAAGAGGTACGCCGCCATCCTTGGCGTGGACGGTACGGTCATGTCTGAGAAGAAGGTCACGGCGGACAAAAGTACTCCTACACTTCATGCACTTGAAAGGACGCTCCTTGGTATCTGCGAATGAGTTAGTCTATGCCCAGGCGAAGAGGGGTCGCGGGGTGAGGGTTGGCATGAAAGCCAAGAGTGGTGGTACACGTACGTGATCGTTCATGGCGACTTCGGTGTTCGCTCCTGCTAAAGGCCCTGTTGCAGAACTGGCACTTGTATTTGCGTTCGGGTGCCAGCGAGGCCTTTCGCGAAGATGCTGTCGAGGCCGCAGGGGGCGGGAGGACTGCTACGTTTGCACCGGGCATCTCGACGTAGTCAAGTCGCGTTTTCTAGATTTGGGCGGCGACGAAGGACGACGGCAAGTTTGCGATCGGAAATCGGACAATTAGGCTGGGCCCGACAGCACGATGGTTGAATATCGTCTGATTCGTAGAATATTGTTACTCTCGCTCTCGCTCTCGACTGCTAGCTCTTCGCTTGCGCGCGCGCTCCCGTGGGGTTTAAAGGGTGAAAGCGGTGATCTTGAACGTGATGATGGTCATTGGATATGATTGATCGATGGTCATGGAAAGACTGAGTTTATTTGTGTTGGTTGGGGGATGAAGGCTCTGGATTGGCCTCTTCAAAAAAAAAAATATATAAAAATATGAACCGGTCGGGATGAGACGGGCGAAGTGTTGCGAGTTGGTTGCGGGTGAGTCGAGCTGGTGATGGAGGGGAATTGAAAGAAGAAGGGAATAAAAGCGAGGGGAGCAGACGTAGAAGACTTAGAGGGGCGGACGGGAGAGAGGGGGAGAAATCCGGAGGGGAGAGTGACCCGGGAGTTGGGGGGGCACTTATTTTCTGGGTGGGGAGGAAAGGAGGGGAACATTCATGGAAAACCAAGAAGAGGGAATGAGAACACAAGAGACGACAGGAGGGAGAGATGGAAGGAGCGAGGGAGGGAGAGGGGTGGCTGAGAAGTTACTGGCTGAGGCTGGACTGATTGAGTGAGTGAGTGATGAGTGACTGGACTCTAAATTGAGTACTCGTGCCAGCGAAGCACAGCACAGCATAGCACAGCACAGCACAGCACAGAGAGGTGCATGGAGTGTCGACCTTCCTTGGCGGGCAATCGTGGGCTTGGGCGTGCTAGGTACCTTGTTCTTAGCGACTGAGAGAACCAATGCAGCACTATGCAGCAGCAACTTCCAGCGTCCGGCCAGTAATGCTAGGCTCGTTAGCCCCCATCACACCCCTGTGAGCCCAGGCATCTGCCTCTGAGCACCTCGTACCGAACATGACCAGACCAGGTGAGCACAAACCTGACCTTACCGAACCAAGCTCCACTGATA